TTGATCTTTTGGGCTCATTTTTATTTGATGAAAGCCTGACGCTAAATCTAAGGTTGTGAAATATTTACTATGACCTAACTGATCGAGTATGTCATTTATTTGAGGTAGTGGATACACATCTCCAATACTTATTTCATTCAACTTTCTAAAATCTATGACAAGCCGCCACTTCTTTTTTCCCGATGCGTCCATTTTTTTTGGGACCACCCATACAGGTGAATTCCAAGGACTATTCGATGGATGAATAATTCCATCTTTTAACAATTTACTTATTTGTTCATTAACTTCTTCTTTAAGTGCTTCTGGATACCTATATGACTTTGTATTGACAGGAATGTTACTATTAGTAGGTATTTCATGCATAACTGTATTTGTTGACGTTAACCTATCTCCTTCTAAATAAAATATGTGATTATACTCTTGACATAATTCTATTAAAGATTCTTTTTCCTCCTTATTCAAGTGATCCGTACGTAAAGTTTTTTTTAACTTATCTAAACGACTTCCTTCGTATGCTTCATCATTCTTAATTTTATTTATATTAATTATCTCATTCGTCCCTTGTTTATTATCTTCATTATCATTAACTTTGTTTATACTAATTAACTCATTAGCTAACGGTTCTAATTTAACAAACAATTTATTTATTTTCACTTCCTTATCTGTCGTATTCAAACATACTGTTAATGCCTTATTATTCTCAACTTTTACAATGCTTGGACATAAATACACACCATCTGATATCTTAATTTTATCTAGTATTAGTCCCTCTTTCAAATTAGGGTTCTCTATTGAAATAGAAATCACTTTTTCACATCTTGGTTCTATGACAAATAAATTATTTTCATGATTATTTTCATTACTAAAGTCTTGTGGATGAACTTCACTAATACTTTCACGTCTATTATTTTCATAACACATATCATTTTTTAATACTTGTGGCTGAACTTCACAATTTTCCTTACATACTTTATTTCCAATATTTCTTTCATTTTTTAATATTTGTGGATATACTTCACAATCTTCCTTACATACTTTATTTCCAATATTTCTTTCATTTTTTAATATTTGTGGATATACTTCACAATCGCTTCCGAAAACATTACTTTCTAAATCTTCATTTACATATTTAATTTCTTCATGCTCAGTATCTATTTCTATATCACATATTCTGATTTTATTATCTTTATAATCAATTATCGAGCCTGTCTTTGACAAAAAATCGCTACCTATAACTCCATTGCATTGAATAGGAAAGTTATCGGGAACCACGTGAAGTGTATGATTAACTCTTTTTTCTCCTATATCAAATGTCAAATGGACACATCCGATTGTATCAGTTGGACTAGCGTCTTTGTCAATTCCCTTTAATTTAATTTTTCTATCTTCGTATATCAATGTTCGCTCTACTAATGACTTTAATTTTATCAACGTGACTTCTGCCCCTGTATCAATTAGGAATTTATTTTCGTTTTCTAATATACTTAAGGAATCTAATTTTACATATGACGAAATACGCGTATCAATCAATCTTATTCGGCCTGAATCTAATTTGTGGTCCTCGGGTTGGCCGCTGGCCTTGGACCGTTGGTGTTTAAAGGCTTATTTTCGTTGCTTCTATTATTCGTTTGCCTATTATTATGATTATTATGGTTCCAACTATTGCTTGGACGATTATAACGATTATTCTGATTATTCCAGCAGTCTTTGGCGATATGCCCTTTTTTTTTACAATTAAAACAAGAAGGTATGTGATTATTCGTGTGATTATTTGTGTGATTAGTATGCATTTGTCTAATCATAGGTTGATTTCTACAGTGGTGAGCTAAATGGCCTAACTTATTACAGTTCGTACACCTTTTTATTCCTGGATTATAATTTTGTCTAACATTCATTTCTTGTCTGGATTTAATTTCTTGTTCTTCAGAAATCGCAATTGAAACTGCATCTTCAAAAGTTAAAGGTTTTTGAGACTTCAGTAAAATGTGAAGTTGTGGTAGAAGACCACTTATAAAGATATTTAATGCTTGATTTTTTAATAACTCTACATTGGCTTCTCGAGCTTCTTTTGTTAATTTTGGGTCTAATGATTTAATTAATTTAATGTAACAGTTTTCTACTCTACTTGAATATTTAGTAATTGATTCATTATTACCTTGTCTACATGAATTTAACTCTAACTGCCACTGTGCAAACGTTCTTTTTTCACTATAATTTTCTAATAAATGCTGTTTTAAATTTTCCCACGAAGTAAAAGATCTATTTAATAACGTTGACCGAATATTACCTTCTATTTTTGAAAGTACTACTGATATAAATGCAATTTTATAAACGGGGTTTAGGAGTGCAAATGCATTATTACAATTATCTATAAATACGTGTAAATTTGATTTATCGCCATCATATTTGTTTATCATTCTTTCTGCAAGACTAATATCTATAAATCCACCTGAGAATTTGTCCTCTGAATTCATTTTGATTCCTATTTAATTCAAATACCAATTACCTATAACTTCTTTTGGTTATGTCCTACAAATTCTTTGCCTTACTTAACTTATATACCCTTATACAAAAAATATAATAATATACACAATACAATAACAAATGCGACTCACTTGGAACGCTTCTCGTTACTCGTTGTATTGCGGAGTCCTTCTCGATCTCGTAGCGTCGTCGAGGTGATAGCGTGAATGCCACTGAAGAACTGGCTGCTACTGGCGGTACTGATGTATTTCCAGCGATGAACCACGGTCCCTCAGCTCCTCATGCTTGAACCTCGTTGATTCTTGAGACTCACTGTGTCCTTTGTTGACGTACAATCGTCGAGGGTTAAGTGCCTCGCCTGGTTGATTTCCGGTCCCTTCACGTTGTATTTCAGTATGTATGTACGAGTACACACATCGAAGACTGAAACCCGTGCTGCTCCAGTACGTATTTGTATGTAGATGATCCGGAGACTGTCTGACCAAACTATTCTTTATTTTGTCAGGACAAAGGAACTCTAATATTTCAAAAGTGCCTTAGTATCCCACTTCTGACACCAAAAATGTAATGTTCGGTGGTCAGAAGGGGCCTTGAAAATAACAACCACGCAGTGTCACGAATTATTTAATAATATTTATTATTATAGACACTTAAAACGAAAAGAGCTTAACTAGACTGTCGATCAGGACTGCCGATCAGGACTGCCTGTTACAATCGGGTGGAGGAGTATTTAAGTTATTCTTAATTATTATACAAACATCGTTAATGCATTGTTAGAACAAATGCTAAACTTTGGGAAAAGTAAACAATTAATGATCACAACAATATCTTTAGATAGCTGTTAGTGTAAACAAACCATTGGACTCTATTCTGGTAATTAGTTATCTCTATGAATAATAATTTAATTTCGAAAAACAACGTGTACTTACAAATACAATATAAAAATCTACTTGAAATATTATGAAATATTACATAAGTAACATTCGAACTGGATCTTTTCTATTCTTCTATTCTAACATTTCCACTCTATGTGTTTGATATAAACTTCTCGTGTAATCACGATACCACATTTCAATTCGAATGACCTCGACGTTTTTTACATGAATGTATGTATTTATCACTTGGTTCCTATTGTATAGTTGATGGTAATAAAACTTTTACTCACTTTAAATAGTAGAACCTTTAAATTTATTATTCAAGCAACATCGATCAAAAAAGTACTAGATACACAATCCCATGCAAAAGTTCTCTTAAAACTGTAACCAATTCCGTTTAAGTAATTATTCTGGTTGAAATAAATATACAACAATGTAAATTTAACCTTAAATGCAATGCTTAGTTGTTTTCTCGAAAAAAAATTAAAAGCGCGCTCAAATGTTCAAATTAAGCGCTCATTCGGCGAGAACATTTTTGTCGCTGATTGTGAGTCTAGTACTTATTTGATCGATGTTAAGCTATAATTTCGGCTTAGTTCAATTATCTTAATGGCGGAATGGGAGTGTTTGTGTGTAGGGTCGTTATTCGTTACATCGATATACCTATGAGTAAATTTATATCGATTATACGCAGCTTAGGCGAAAGTCACAAGGACGTCCGTACTGTCCAAAATTTGGCACAAAAAACGAGAGTGTCTTAGGTTTACTTTGCCATTTTTTGAGTGTTAAGACAAATACTTTACTAAAAATAATATATAACTTAATTATCATTGTCTTAATATTATATTATTATTATATGCTTCTAAGTATTTAACAACTTATCTCCTTAAGCTATAGCCTTAAATTAGATAAGAGGGTCCTGTGGAAGGTTAGACGTGCGCGACACAGGGAGGGTGGTCCTAGTGCGTGCGTCTCAGCACTCCATTGCCAATGTTTTGTTAAACAGTAATTGTTGCTAGATTAAGGAGTATATTTGTATCCATTTTTGTTAAGTTACGAATTAAATGAAATCAAATGAAATAGATATTTACCTCGTTACGTTTCATTATATCGTATGCATATTTAATTACAGTATGATATTGTAGTGTGTTTGTAATTGATACGAAGCAATTTTAGTTTTTAGTTACGTAATAAAATACTTATATTTCTAAGCTCTTTAAGATTTTTTATCTGGTATTTTCGAAATATATTGCGTATTGAGTTTGCCACATGTGTACGTGACACAAGTAATGCAGGCACTATTGCGAACAATGTATCGATAGTATCTTTGATTTAAATAACTTCTGCAGTACAAAACTTGATAGATTTAATACATAATATTCCATTTTTTCTTACCTTTTCTTTTTTTCCTTAATATATACGTAGTTAATATAACTATTTGTCTTACGCAAGCATCAAACTTGTGTCTAAGCTATCGTCGTATAAGAAATGCTATTAGAGACATATCACTGAATTAATTATTATTAAGGATATATGTATATATTATATAGATTCTTATTATTAATCTTAATTTCGATAAATTATTACTTCGTTTTTGTAACACTTTGTCGTATTGTAGATTAATAAAAACATTACATCCAGGTGGGTATACTGTTGAGGGAGCTATGCAAATTACACGGCGTCCCAGAACCGCCGGACTTGGACTCTTTATCACTACCCCTCCACCCAGCACCTCAGCATAGGTGAGTTTTGTCACTTCACTCTAGTGATTTTTATGACATGTTTTCTCTCATCCCGCGGGTTTCCTTTGCTTTTTCGGGAATAAATATAGGTCTATGTCACTTTCGAACGGAATCTAAGTAATAGAGCCCCGTTAAGATTAAGAGGTAATTTTAACTGACTTCCAAAAAGAAAGAGGTTCTATATTCGTCTGTATGTTTTTTTATCTATTTAACTTATCTCTTCCCAAGAAAAGTACCTACACTTTTATTATCAAGCTAGAGACACATTAAAATCGGTTTAGTCGTTCCATAGATAAATGAATACCAATTAGATACCAGAAAAACAACAATTTTTAACCCTGACGCTTTTTTCAGTTTTCGTAGTGTTGTGTCGAACATATAACCGTTTGATCGCAATAAGAATTAGCCATTTTGAATTTATAGTTCGATAGTTCCACAATATAAATTGTATAGGTACTCGATACTTTTGAGTGATTGTCACTGTAATGCAATTAACTTTTGCTTTATATATATATATATATATATATATATATATATATATAATATATATATATATATATATATATATATATATATATATATCTATTATTTACATTTTTTATTTACATATTTCTTTTGCTTTCATTTACTAAGGTTAAGCGTTTTGTGTACGGAAATAATGTAACATAAGTAAGAACGTATTCTTAAACTAGTCTCTAGTTCAGCTATACTCAACCTGCGGTCCGCCGGGCTTTTGTTGTTGGCCCATCTGAAGTTACATCTCAGAGGTGGCTTCCGTTTTAAATTGTAATTACTCAGAGTTGTTTGATGAGTTCATCGATTTTGAAAACGATACCAATCTAGAAATTCTGTTTTAAGAAAAAAGGGAAAACAGACCACGACTGAAACGTGTTTGTGGCCCCTATAAAAAAAGGTTGAGTATGGCTGCCCTAGATACACACTAAAACGCACGTTTTTTGCAGTTTATATTTTATCGAATGTTGTATGCAATTATACTGCAAAAAACGTACACACCCCTCTATACGTTGGGAAACTCACCGGACTTGACCGATCGAACTTTAGTCTTCAACGTCTTCTCGGGGGATTGCTTTACGAAAAAAATATTTTTATTTGTTTTTTCATGTATAAACATCTCGCTCTATCTAAGTTTATAATCTATATATATAATAAAATTGTAACTAAGACGGATCTGTACATCAAATATTTTTTGGAAAATCTTATTGAAATAAACATTATTATCGATACAGAGGCCGAATCTATAGTTTTTAGAATATTTGTCTGTCTGTTACCGCATCACAGACAAACCACTGGAGGGATTTTGATGAAATTTGGTATGGTGATAGCTGGTTACCCGAGTCAACAAATAGGACTATACCGCGGGAAAATGTCTCATTTCTGAGAAAAAATACAAAAACTGCAATGTAAGAGTGTAGTAATATATAAAACCTAATAATTTGGTTTTTGGTCATCTGAACGCGGGCGGAGCCGCAGGCTATGCTGGTATCGAATATAATAAAAGGACGTGTTGTGTGAAATCAAAGTTGTCACCTGCCCTAATCTTGTAGTATACGAAATCTAATCTATTAAAACCTATTGTATTACAAATCAAGGAGTAAGCTCGAAGGGGCATTATTTATACGTTTTTACTTTTTTTTAAATCCAAACTGCTTCTAATATTACTCATTTACAAATAATACGTATTATAGTTAACAGATAAAAAATAAAGTACATTGTAATTTTTGATTTCAATTATTTAAAAAAAGTTCAATCTACTTAATTGTTTTAGATGAAATTTGGTAAAAAGATAGTTTGAGACCCTGTGAAGGACATAGGATACTTTTTATCCCGGTAATCATTCCTTAAGGGGGTGAAAATAGAATGGGAATCAAGCTAGGGACGAACCCGAGCGAAGCGAGGGTGAGTCGCTAGTGTTATAATATAAAGAAGTATTTGATAGTGTTTAAATGACTCGATTACGAAACAGATGTTAATGTTATGTGTCTTCTCATAAATATACCTGTATTCAGCCCTTCTTAACGTCCCACTGCTGGGCACGGGCCTTCCTTCAATATGAGGGGGATCAGGCCATAGTCCACCACGCTGGCCAAGTGCGGGTTGGCAGACTTCACATGTCTTTCGAAAACTTGCTAGGTTCTCTCAGACATGCAGGTTTCCTCACGATGTTTTCCTTCACCGTAAGGCAAGTGGTAATCATGTTGAAAATGATTCGCACATGAAAATATCAGAGGTGCGAGACCCGGGATTTGAACCCGATTCACTCGGTTACCCATGCGAGCGCGTCACCACTGGGCTACCACTGCCTATATAAATATACCTATAGGGTTCCAAAAGGTTAAAGGTTAAAATGGAATACTTAAAAGTTGTGATATTTGATATTTAAGTGTGATTTGCTGTCATATTTTGCTAGAGTAGAACAGAAAATTAAAATTAGGAAAAAATAAAAAAGAGGCGGTGTTTCATATAATAATGTAAATTATAGAGGAAAAAATAAATTAAATGACTGTTGTCTATTTTTGGAGAGGTTTCAAAAAGTAAGTTGCATCAGACTCGCTGCTGTACAGTTGTAGATATGTATAACTGCGTGCCTAATGAGAGAATCACGTATTTCATGTAAATCATAAAACAGTGGATAATCCAAAAGTGATTTCAAAACTTTGTTGAATGTAATATAAACATTCTAAAACGTTCACGACTTTCGAACAAAATATGAATCATGTAATTTTTTACAAATTCTAATAAATTGGAGATGTTTCTCGAAAGTTCCAAGCGCAATGCTTGCTTGCACATTTTCATATATCTCGGCACAATACGCTTTTTAATAAATGAATCTATAACAAAACCTCAGACTTATAGAGTCTACAATTCTTTGGTCTGAGACCAAAAGATTTTTTATGTTTTTGTGTCTTTTCACAAGGAAAAAGAACATTTAAGCGCAGATTTAATTACAAACTCATAATTTATAATATTTAAGACTAGCATTGCCCGCGGCTCCGCCCGCGATAAGATGACCAAAAACCAAATTTTTTGGTTTTATATATTAGTATACGCTTACATTGCAGTTTTTGTATTTTTTCTCAGAAATGAGACATTTTCCCGCGGTAAAAAGTCCTATATGTTGACCCGGATAACCAGCTATCACCATACCGAATTTCGTCAAAATCCCTCCAGTGGTTTTACTGTGATGCGGTAACAGACAGACAGACAAAAATTCTAAAACGTATATATTCGGGTTCTGTATCGATAATAATGTCTATTTCAATAAGATGTTCCAAAAAATATTTAATGTGCAGATTCGGCTTAGTTACCAATTTTATTATATGTATAGAAAAGAAGCGATATTCAATAAATTCATTTCAGATTTATATGCTTCACCAATAAAAACAATTATCACCTGTCACGCATTCTTTATTTTATGGACGTTGAATAACGTTCAAGTGCCAATTTAGTATTGCATTGTATAGATTGACTTTAAATTGTAGTTTTATTACAATTTAAAGTCCAAGAAGTACAATTTACAATTTTACTTTTATACTTAATTTGAGAAACTTTAAACGAAAACCTTAAAAAATGAAATTGAAAATGAACAAGGAATTAAAGCTTTGTTTTTTTTTATTTAAAGTATATCTATTAAAAGTTACAATAGTCATTTTTTTTGTACGTGTACATATTATAAAGGAATACATAGCTTATAACCAGCAGACGTTGAAGGCGTTCGTAATGGATATCTCATTTGCTAAATTATGATAGGTACCTTTAAAAGATATAGGGGTACAAATGAACATACCTACATAGCGTGCTAAAATCATAACTTTTCGTAGTAGGGTAAATAGGCTTACTACTTGAAGTTTGTTTTTTAAACACTAGTGGCTGAGTTTCTGATACACTCGTATAATGAATGAATTAAATCTTGTTATTTTTGTAAGTTACATAAGTATTGACATTTCCAGAGTACCGAGCGTGACGTCTAACGGTGCGGAATCTGGCACTGAAGAAGATGAAGAGATGGCGGCTGAAGAGGACGAGTCTGAGGGTGAGGATGACTTGCCGCTAGAGATGGTCGACGATGCTGGACGCAGCAGCAAGGTATTGTGAAATATCTAATCTATTGTATTTGTATTCAGCCCTTTTTAACGTCCCGCTGCTGGGCACGGGCCTCCCTACGATACGAGGGGGATCAGGCCATAGTCCACTACGCTGGCCAAGTTTCTTCACATGTTTTTCGAAAACTTCATTGGTTTTCTCAGATATGCAGGTGCCCTCGCGATGTTTTCTTTCACTGTAAGGCAAGTGGTAATCGAGTTAGAAATGATTCGTACATGAAAATATCAGAGGTGCGAGACTCAGGATTTGAACTCGCTACAATCAGTTTTTCAAGCGAGCGCGTTACCACTGGGCTACCACTGTCTTTTTCTTTTTTTCTAATCTATTGTATAAACAAAAATGGTAATGTTCGCTAGTACAAAGACGGAAATTTACAAATTTAGAATGAGGAATTTTTAGTTTTAGATGATATATTCCAAACATTTATTAAAACACAAGATACAATACTAGCACAGACACCCCATCCCATACTTTTCGTTGATTGACAGATGAAATCAGAATATACGTTTTTTGTACCTAATTCTTATTCTTTTATTAACTTTACACAACATTCTTCAATCGATACTTATAATGCCATCGATGAGCATTTATATGATTCGATTTTTCTGTCCATCTTTGTTTTGGATGAGACCCCCAACTACGGCTACAGCTAAAACAAACTTTTCAAATCCTATATTTGATCCCATTTCCATACCATATTCTACATGAACTAATCAATGTACTAACTAATACAAAAACTATCTTACGTATTGTCACACTCCAGAATAATATCTATCAAGACAAAAAATTAAAACAAAACTTACATTTTTATTATTATTTCTTTAATTTGTAGGTATATATATTATGTATACTATATACATTTTATATGTACCCTCACTACGAGTATATATCTAAAACTACAAAAAAATTTAGCGTTATGCTATTAGTGACAATGTGTGGAAATCTGCCCGATTTGTTGACGGTTATGATTACTGCTTTGTTGAGTATTAACATAATGATATACCTATATTCTTCCTCAATAAACGGGCTATCTAATGCAATAAGAATTTTTCAAATTAGATTAGTAGTTCCTGAGATGATCACTTTCAAACAAACTAACAAACTCTGCCTCTTTATAATATTAGTATAGTTGCATATTGTATATGTCCCAAGGACGATATGGAAACAGAGCACCTAGCAACACTGGAGCGGCTCAGACAGAATCAGCGGCAGGATTACCTCTCGGGCAGCGTGTCCGGCTCACTGCAAGCCACTGATCGTCTAATGAAGGAGCTACGCGATATATACCGCTCTCACTCCTTCAAGAATAATATGTATTCTATAGGTGAGATGGTTTCTCTCTTTTTTGACGTGGAACGTCTTTAAAATCACACCCAAACGTACTTGTTCCAGGTCAGAAAAGTGTACAGTAATGAAATAGAATGATATCTTACTATAATATTGTAAATGTGAAAGTTTAAAATATGTTTGGATGTTTGTTACTCAATTATGCCAGAATAGCTGAACGGAACTGGATGAAATTTGGCACAGAGGTAGATTATAGTTTGGAATAGCACATAGACAATATAGATTTATTTTTGTTTTTCTAGAGGTGAACCCGAGCGAAGCGCCCTTGAGCCTCTAAATATTAAAAAAAACAAAAAGCGACTCCCTGAAATAGATGTGTCACGATAAAACAACTTCATGTATTCGCCTTAATCTTGTTAATCTTTTCTTCTTAATCTTGTGTGACCTTTAAGCTTAAATTAATTGATATTTAATATGTCGATAATCGGCTTAGGTCCTAGACTAGATAGGCTCTAGTATTAGTATTTATTCTGTAACTCTATCTTTTGTTAGGTGATGTACAATGAAAAATAATTAGGTAAAAATACAGAGTGATACAATATTATTGACGCCTTAATCGTCTTACTCGTTTTCTGAGAAGACTAAAATACGTTCTTTTTCTTTGTTTTTAAAATAAATGTATTGATATAAATAGAGATAACGTAATATTGTTTTATATTTTAATATATTAACATAACAATTTTACTTTTTTTGTTTACAGAATTAGTTAACGATTCACTGTATGAGTGGAATATAACACTGCGGTCAGTGGACCCGGACAGCCCACTCCACAATGATCTGCTACTGTTGAAAGAGAAGGAGGGCAAAGATTCAATCCTCCTAAACATAATGTTTAAGGAGACATACCCATTCGAACCGCCGTTTGTACGCGTCGTCTATCCTATTATATCAGGTTAGATTTCATTCTTTATTAAATCAATATATTATCGTTGTCTAAGTGCTTATTTGTCCAAACGATCAATTTACTGAAAAGGTTTTTAATACAGAATTATTGATTATATGTCAATTTTATTGGTATATTTTTTTTTGTAAAAAAAACTGAAAAGATGTGCTTTATCTATACTTGTATGTAAAATTTAGAAATAAAGCTCTGTTTTTAAAATAGAATAATAAAACTATCTGTTGTAAAGTACAAGTGTTGGTCGTTTGAATGAATAATTAATTATGATAATGCAAGTGCATCGAAATTTATTAGATAGCTTTTTTGGTTAAATTTTGTAATACAAAACTTCATATGAACGTATGTACCTATGACTACTTTAATGATTATTAGTTAAAAAAATATTATAATAAAATAAATCAATATTTTCATTTTACCAATTATTTGATTACAACAAAAATATTACTTAAATATAGGAAAAAAGTAGACGAATACTCCGAATACTTAATAATAGCCGAATATTCATTGCAAGTTTATTATTTATTATGTGTATAAATTTTTCCAGGTGGCTACGTCCTGGTAGGCGGTGCTATATGCATGGAGTTGCTAACGAAGCAAGGTTGGTCGTCAGCGTACACGGTGGAAGCGGTCATAATGCAAATAGCAGCCACCCTGGTGAAGGGAAAGGCGCGTATACAGTTTGGTGCGACCAAAGTGGTATCCCAGTCGCAATACAGCCTTGCGCGTGCGCAGCAAAGCTTCAAGTGCCTAGTGCAGATACATGAGAAGAATGGTATGTTTTGTGTGGCATTTTGTTAAGCTTTGGATATTTTTTTTATTAAAGTTATACTTCTTTTGGCACGTTTGGGAAAAAATATGTGGGTAAAATTTTACGATGCGCGCGCACACCGATAGCTAAAAAGCGACAGTATGAAGTTAGCTGAAAGCGACATGATGAAGGTAGTTGCATTCCTTCTACAAACAGAGGGTTTTCACATATGGAATGAAATCTTTAGCTATTTTTGCTCTGTTACGCCAAAGAAGTATAACTTTTAGGTGCGTACATAAGTACACACACATGTTTTTTTTTAATATTTTTTTTAAGTAAGAGATTTTACTAATTTGTTAATGTTATCATTTTTGTTGATGTTTTTATGTATATTTAATTGCCAGAGATATTACTTATTATATACAATAAAGTTATATTTAAAAATACAATATGCCAGCTAAGTTTATTAAAACTTGTTGCATAAATTATTTTGAAACATAAATATTAATTAACATTTTAAGAATCTAATCTATACATATAATAAAATTGTAACTAAGCCAAATTCTGAACATTAAATATTTTTTGGAAAATCTTATTGAAATAGACATTATTCAGGGCATTATCAGGGGCCGAATCTATAGTTTTTAGAATTTTTGTCTGTCTGTCTGTTACCGCATTACGGGAAAACCTCTGGAGGGATTTTGATGAAATTTGGCTTGATGATAGCTGGTTATCCGGGTCAACATTTAGGATACTTTAGACCGCGGGAAAATCTCTCATTTCTGAGAAAAAAAATGTAAAAACTGCAATGTTAGAGTATACTAATATGTAAAACCTAAGAATTTGGTTTTTGGTCATATGAACGCGGGTGGAGCCGTGGGCAATGCTAGTTTATTATAAAGTTTATTTTTTGAATTGGTGAAATACTAATGCTTATTTATGAAGTAGTATTCTTGATTCATAACTGATTTTCTGTTATTTATGACGGCTTTGATATTACGAGATAGCATTTATCTTGCGGTCTTTGGACAAACTGCGTGTTACCATCCCGAGCATCGATAGCAAAATGACACATGAGTACTACTGCATTCCAGATGAAAGCATAACAAATAGTTTAATTAATATAAAAAAAATATTTAACTATTTTTTATTCTTTTTTTTTATTCTTATTTAACATTTAATTCGTTTTCTAATGTTATCGGCAGGATGGTTCACACCGCCGAAGGAGGACGGCTAAGGAGAGCCGCTTGCCCTATATTAAGACTAACGTGCTACAAACGTCAGTAACGCCCAATACAAACACTATCCTTATAAAATTTGACAAGTGACTTGGATCTCGTCATAGTTATTCCATTCGAGTTGTATGATTTGTGTGTATGAAAGGACATCACGTGGCATTCGGTATAGTATCGTACTTTATTATATAAGTGCTACCTATGTACAGTGCGGGGCGTCGCGAGAGACCTTATAAGACTTATAGAAAATGTTTAATGTGTAATGTTTTTTGTAATCATTAATTTTCTCATAAAGTTATCAATATGGTAGCCTTAGACGTTACTGGAGTGTAAAGTTGGAAAAATTCTTTGCATTTCTTTTTAGTTATTGAATAAATGAAAACCTGTGATTCGTAACGATATATTGTGTTTTATATTTACTTACTACACCTTTTGTTGATTTCTTATATGAAATATAAAATGTTATATCATTATCTTTCTTAGGTATTAGAGTTAATTATTTACAGAATTGAAAAAAAACATACAAATATAGCTTTTAAATTTTTATTTTAGAAATATTCTATTTGCCATAAAATACCTTATAAAAAAATAAAAATCATTAAAAAATAATAAATATGAATAGAATTTAGTTTTATTAGTAGAAAAAAAAAGAAAATACCATTCCATTAAAAATATAAATATCACAGTTTTGATTTTTGATTCTCTTTATTGTGTTCCATTAAAGCTTTCAGCCCAGAGACATGATCCTCTGCTCCCGGCTGGTTGATTTTCTTGCAAAATTCTTGCCTAGACATATTTTCAAACCATTGTTTTAATTTTGGATACCTAAAAACATAAGCTTTTTTAAATAAATGTGTACACATATAAAATTATTAATTTCATATAACCCTTAATATTACTTCGGATAATTGCAATAGGATATATGATGAAAAATATATATATAATGAAAAAAACAAGTTAGGTGAGTTTAAAACTTTTTGTATGATAAAGTAAATACAATGCAATGAAACAATATTTTTGTTGACTAAATTCTCCTTTTATGATGCTACTTGAAAAGCAATCACTGAGGATTCTGTACTACCAATCATTTTATATAGGTTTTTTTCATTTGTTATGTTAAAAGAAAATATTGACTCGAAAGATTCTACATAAAACAAAGTTAATTTCAGCTCATTAATAACCAAAGTGTTAACTGACTTGAAATATTAAAATATCTTTGTCATAAAATTTAATTATTTTTAGTCGAGAAACACAATTAAGCTTAAAAGTTACTAAAAAAAAAGAAAATCTCCTTTTGTAGAACCATTCCAATCCTGCACGCTTAAAAAAATGTATAATGTGCCAAATGCCTTTCCTTTTTTAACTGTTCTGTAATTTAACTATAGTTTTATATAGCGGTCCACATATAAAGTACCAGAAATCTTAGTAAAATGGCTGTGACATAATAATGGCCTCCTGAGACTAACCAACTATGCAAGAGATATTATAGTGCACAAGTATGTAACGCGATAACATAAGAACATCTATTCATTTCTCTCAGTCTGTTGGTAAGGTTGATTAGTAAGCCATCTAGCACAGGACCAAAGAATTTACATGGTTTTCAGGCACAGTAGTCTGAATCTGCTGCTAATGAGAATATCTTACCTCAAAAAAACCTTATTCTTATTTTCAGAAAACTCAATAACAACTTGACCTGACCTACTCGAACCCAGGACCTCCATAACTACAGCCATACATGCTAGCCACTAGACTAACAAGGCATTATGTAACATACAAACATTATAAGGTTCCATTTTTGCTTTTCAGCTTCTTTTAGGAACCTTATAAAAAATCCGTCCTAGCATGATTGGAACAATAACTTCCAGTATGAATCAATTTTCACCTTTTGTGTACATTTTTTTTTATTTAAAGTTACGCCTGACGAGTCTATATATTTGGTTAAGAATCAAATATAACTTACTTTTCATTGTTAATAGGATGTAAGCCATGCAGTGAAGATATAGTGGTAATAACACTGATATCGGCTAACGTGAGGACGTCATCGGCTAAATATAACGTCTCAGATAAATAATCTTCTAGCATCCTGTATGCATCTTCTATATTAATTACCATTGACTTTGATAATTCCGTTAATCGCCCTCCATATGTTGGTGCCTGTTTGTTACACAATAAAGTCAGTATATTTTAGTCTTTAATGCATGACATAAGTTGTATGCATATTTCGATAAGTCTCCGTTTTCAAATTAAGGTAATTTTAGTTTTTTTTTCTCCTTTTGTATTTATTGTTATAAAGAAAAGAAGTATTATTTAACCTTAACTATTAGCTATAGAATAGCTATATAATACCTACAAAGTAAGGTATATTTTACACCAGTATAGTATGTATTTTGAATGGGGGCTTTATGGGACTTTACCATTACTAGTCTACTGACTACACCAAAATACTTGCCATAAATTCCTATAAGTACTTTTAGGCTTTTACATACTTCTGTGCCTGAAACTGGTGAAAAGCTAAAAATGTATCAGTCCACCATTTCGTGTATCTCATAATTAAATGACAAAAGAAATAATCTCACCATAATAGACCTGAGACGTGGAAATAAAATACCAGTGTCGAAAAATAGCCTTTGATTTATTGTAGCTCTTTTCCTTTTATCAGATGGATATAGGTAAGAATGTTCTGGCTTTCCGTACACATCGAACAAATATAACATAATGGCGTGACTGGAAGAAAATTTAATATTATAAAAAATATGTTAAAAATATTCTGAAATAAATATTGATAAGTTTTATTGCAATCACATGAGCATAAAGTTCTGTGCGTCTACAAAAAGTAAAAATTATGTGTATTTTGTGAGCTAAATGGAAGAAGTGTGCCGAAGTCATTGATTTTCTTGTTAATATTATAAAGAATCCAATGCTCATTCCCAGAGTGATGACTAAAACTGACTGTCTTATTGTTAAATGAATACGGAATGAGATGTGCTGCACATTTCAAATAGGTAAGTAATGAAAGTATGACTTGTGTAAGTTAATATGTAATAAAATAAATTATAATGAGTCTGGTGTTGCTGTAATGTTATAATTTATTCATGTTCAGCAACTTTTGTTAACCCCAAGCATCTTTAACTCTGTCATCATAAAACTATAAATTAAAAAATATTGATGTGTTTTCTAGATTAAAATAATGAATGTGATATTTATTTCCTCACCTATCCCCTAAACAAAAACCATTATCATCTATGAATGGTATTGTTCTCATTGGGTTTTTCTGAAATCCCAAAAAATATAAGTTACCACATAACTAATTTTATAATAAATTTAGAAGTCTCAATCTCTTAAGATATTGTAAAATTCATCATACTTTAGTCATTTTTGGAGTATCTTGATCCCGCAAAATAGGATTTATATCATATTCTTTGTAGTCAATTCCAAGAATATGTAATACCATCATTGTAGCGCGAGCAGGTGGGCTGGCATTATTTTTATATAAGGTAAGCATCGTAATCGTACTTCAGAAGTTTCAAGTTATTAATTAATGTTTTTAAATAACTATTCAAGAAATTAAAGATATTAAAATCTCAGCATCGAAAATAGTTAAGTATTTATTTCGTTACTGTTCTCGTAATAATTTAAAAAGGTGACAGAATTAGGTAAAAGATTATCTTTTAATTGAATCAGTATTAAAATTATTTTTTTTTATTTAAAATACAAAAAAAAGTAACTATGTAGGTATTTATTATTTAATAATATTTTGACATTTAAATGATTGCACAGAAGATTAAGAAATTTTGAAGTTCCACGCATTATTCAAACCAGGGTTGCCAGGTAAAAAAATACAACAATCGTTCACCCAAAATATTAAATTGTTCAATTATTGAGCTTACGAAGTAACTCACACTTAACTCCTTTTACAACTGATAAATTCACATACATTTTTCCTATTCTAGCGCCATTCTGGTCGTTTGTTGAACTATTATTTACAATTTTCCCACTATAATGTAAAGGCGAATACACATTACACACAGGCTTAAGAAATGCAAAAGAATGTATAACAAACGATCGTTCGGGATTGAAAACTAAGAAAATACACTGTTTTTCTTTGTATAAGTCGAATAATATGTATATTATCATCATAAATAAGTACATTATTTGTTTTTCTACAACATCAGTTTCTTTTTGTTAGAATGTTGGGTGGGTAGGCCACACTTTCGCATCGAAGGCAATCGCTCATGTACCTTGGACACACGTCGACACCCAGTTCGTATGAATGGAATTCCTGTGATGTGACCGCGATCCGGTGGATTGCCGGCGAACGCCAATCAACGATTGTTGACGATGACGACACGTTGGCTCAGTTTGTAGCGACCCTACTTGCTATGCCAGTGGTCGCGGGTTCGAATCCCGCTGGGGGCATTCATTTGTGTGATGAGCACGAATGTTTGAACTCTAGTCATGGGTGTTTATATTTATATTATGTATGTATTTTGAATTATATATGTGTAGTGTATCAAGTATCTGGTATCCATAACATAGGCCTCGTAGCTTACCATGGAACTAGATGGTGCTGTGTGTTAATGTCCCAACATATATATTTATTTTAAAGGGCCTAGTCTTTGTGTTTACCTACTATGTAGCCTAGCTTAACTAAGTATGTTTTATTATGGCGGATAGTCTATCAAATAAAAATAATAATAAAAGAGTAATAATAATAAATATAAAAACACGTCCATTTTAGGTGCATTTTCGATTCAATTCAATTTTCTTATTAATGGCTCCAAAGTGTACCAGTTGAGCACAGATTACTTCGCCAATCTCACATAGAATGGAGAAGTCGATAATTGGTGCCATTTTGGTTCTCTTCTCAAAATATATGTAATCTAGCTACAAATTTCTGACTTCATGTAATTAAATAAAACTATCTTTTCCGATTATTTCGCGGATTTATTTGGATTTTTGGTTCCCGACGTTTCGATGAAATGAAAAATTGCTGCTGTTTAAAGTTAAAAAATATTGTGAGGTAATTGCTGCAATTTTCATTTTGTTAATTGTGGGTAGGCTGTCTGTAACAACTATACCTTCAAGACCATCTGACACCTCAGTTCTCCCGTGATCATGATTGCTGTAAAGCATTCGAAACGTCGGGAACCAAAAATCAAAATAAATCCGCGAAATAATCCGAAAAGATAGTTTTATTTAAAATGTCAAATAGTCGCGTAAATCTAAGAAAGTATTAAATGCAGTATTTATTCTCCATAAATAAGCGCAGTTTTTAGAAGAAATCACTAGTCATATTTTTCAAGTCTGAAAGTCAAACATATCAGTTTAAATTACCGTAGTTGTTTATAAAGTTTGCTTTAAGATTGCAAGAACATTTTGTTTAATTAACAAAATCTATTATAATAATAAGGATATATACTAATATATAATTATAACTTATAATTATAAGAAATATTTCGGCTGTACGAGTGCTAAGTATTCCTTTAAAGTAAAAATATTACGAAAATAATTAAAATAACTATAATATAACAAGTCGTTCAATACTGTTAGAAACCTTAGGGGTCGAGCATTGGTATATGCTCGACTCCTAAGGTTTCTAACATTCCAAGTTTTAATATATGTTTAAACAAACATTTTTTTTATATAATACTAGCAGAACCCACGGCTTCGATCGTGCTAAAATTACAAAAAAACCCTAAAATGGTAGGTTTCATATACATTTTCATTCCGTATTTAATTTTACCTTATTATAAGATGAATTTCGAAAAATGCTAAAACACGTATTTAATTAGTATTGAAGAGCCAATAGATACCAAGTTTCAAGTAATTCTAATCATGAATTTTTTTTGGATTGTATAGTAACGTGTTTTCCCGTGGGAATTAGTAAAAAGTGCCGCGGTAAAAAGTAGCCTATGTCACTCTCCAGGCGTCCAGTTATCTCCACACAAAAAAATCACGCCAATCAGTAAAGCCATTTCGACGTGAAAGAAAGATAAACAATCAAACACACTTACACATTTATAATATTAATTATGGATAGAGATGACACAGAATGGATTTCCAAATTTTAAAATGTCTGAACTGACTGAAATAAAACTTATCAATTTCTTTTTATAAGAGAACAAGTTGTATAATAAAAAAAATAGACAAATGGATAAAAAACTTACAAAAGTTTAATTGGCTTCTGCACGTTTTATTTCAATTCATTCATTCATTTCAATAAGTTTATTTTTATTAATATAAGCACGTTATACTCGAGTGCAATTAGTCGTTATAAATGAAAAATGAGGGAACCTAGTCTTAACTTATAATGAATGGATTTGAATGATTTTTTTTTCTCTGGGTTTTTAATACAATAAACTAAAAATTTTACCCGTTAAAAATTACCGCGGTTTTGAGAATCCGTAATTTAAAAAAAATATCAAAGTTTCTAGAAATCTCCACAAAAAATACAACTATCGGAAGTTTTAAATATTTATTTTAAGAAAATAATAACTGTTATAGTTTTTGAAGGTGTTTGTTTATACAAGATTTCTTATATAAAACGGTTTTATAATTAACAAGGTTCTATCAAATTGTACTTAGAAATTTATTTGGCTAACGCTGGCTAAACCTTTTGGTCCGGGAGTCCGGTACAAATTTGGTCGATTATTTCTTCTTCGGCTTCTAAATATATTTTTTTTATAAACACACAGAACCATCTAGTTCCATGGTAAGCTACGAGGCCTGTGTTATGAATACCAGATAGTTAATACACTACACATAATATATAACTTTAAATACATACATATTATAAACATAAACACTCATGACTGGAGTACAAAAATTCCTGTTCATCACACAAATGAATGCCCCTAGCGGGACTCGAACCCGCGACCGCTAGCACAGCAAGTACTACAAACTGAGCCAGACGTGTCGTCACTTGGTAATTTTTTTTATTTCGCTTTGAAAAATGGATATTAAAATACCTAGAACACAAGAAAATTATGTGGGCGTTTAACTGAGAAAGATTTTTTACCATCTTTTGAAGGTACGTAATGAGAAAATTAATTTCATGTAATAGGAAAAAGTATTATTGAATAGATATGTTTAAAGAATACTAGATTATAAAAATATATTTAATGCAACTGATGAATATTAATATGGTGCATTATTAAATAGGTAAGAAACCGACTCGGCGTAATGCGTTCTTCGTATAGCTTCTGCCAACATCACAGCAATATCCATTGTTTGTAGTTTAGGACATTGTTTCATATTTTTATCTTGAGGTATCGTATTTGTAACCACCAAAGCTTCTAAGCATGAATTATTAATTTTTTCAATAGCATTTCCAGCGAGAACTCCATGAGTGAGAATTGCATAGATTTTATTTGCTCCGGCCTCTTTCAATGTAGCCTAGCTTAACTAAGTATGTTTTATTATGGCGGATAGTCTATCAAATAAAAATAATAATAAAAGAGTAATAATAATAAATATAAAAACACGTCCATTTTAGGTGCATTTTCGATTCAATTCAATTTTCTTATTAATGGCTCCAAAGTGTACCAGTTGAGCACAGATTACTTCGCCAATCTCACATAGAATGGAGAAGTCGATAATTGGTGCCATTTTGGTTCTCTTCTCAAAATATATGTAATCTAGCTACAAATTTCTGACTTCATGTAATTAAATAAAACTATCTTTTCCGATTATTTCGCGGATTTATTTGGATTTTTGGTTCCCGACGTTTCGATGAAATGAAAAATTGCTGCTGTTTAAAGTTAAAAAATATTGTGAGGTAATTGCTGCAATTTTCATTTTGTTAATTGTGGGTAGGCTGTCTGTAACAACTATACCTTCAAGACATCTGACACCTCAGTTCTCCCGTGATCATGATTGCTGTAAAGCATTCGAAACGTCGGGAACCAAAAATCAAAATAAATCCGCGAAATAATCCGAAAAGATAGTTTTATTTAAAATGTCAAATAGTCGCGTAAATCTAAGAAAGTATTAAATGCAGTATTTATTCTCCATAAATAAGCGCAGTTTTTAGAAGAAATCACTAGTCATATTTTTCAAGTCTGAAAGTCAAACATATCAGGTAAATTACCGTAGTTGTTTATAAAGTTTGCTTTAAGATTGCAAGAACATTTTGTTTAATTAACAAAATCTATTATAATAATAAGGATATATACTAATATATAATTATAACTTATAATTATAAGAAATATTTCGGCTGTACGAGTGCTAAGTATTCCTTTAAAGTAAAAATATTACGAAAATAATTAAAATAACTATAATATAACAAGTCGTTCAATACTGTTAGAAACCTTAGGGGTCGAGCATTGGTATATGCTCGACTCCTAAGGTTTCTAACATTCCAAGTTTTAATATATGTTTAAACAAACATTTTTTTTATATAATACTAGCAGAACCCACGGCTTCGATCGTGCTAAAATTACAAAAAAACCCTAAAATGGTAGGTTTCATATACATTTTCATTCCGTATTTAATTTTACCTTATTATAAGATGAATTTCGAAAAATGCTAAAACACGTATTTAATTAGTATTGAAGAGCCAATAGATACCAAGTTTCAAGTAATTCTAATCATGAATTTTTTTTGGATTGCATAGTAACGTGTTTTCCCGTGGGAAAGATATAATCTCCCGCGGTAAAAAGTAGCCTATGTCACTCTCAGGCGTCCAATTTTCTCCAGACAAAAAATCACGTCAATCAGTAAAGCCGTTTCGACGTGAAAGAAAGACAAACAAACAAACACACTTACACATTTATAATATTAAGTTCACGTTTATAATATTAAGTATGGATAGAGATAATAGAGATGACACAGAATGGATTTCCAAATTTTTAAATATGTCTCAATTGACTGAAATAAAACTTATCAATTTCTTTTTATAAGAGAATAAGTTGTATAATAAAAAAAATAGACAAATGGATAAAAGACTTACAAAAGTTTAATTGGCTTCTGCACGTTTTATTTCAATTCATTCATTCATTTCAATAAGTTTATTTTTATTAATATAAGCACGTTATAGTCGAGTGCAATTAGTCGTTATAAATGAAAAATGAGGGAACCTAGTCTTAACTTATAATGAATGGATTTGAATGATTTTTTTTCTCTGGGTTTTTAATACAATAAACTAAAAATTTTACACATTAAAAATCACCGCTGTTTTGAGAATCCGTAATTTAAAAAAAATATCAAAGTTTCTAGAAATCTCCACAAAAAATACAATTATCGGAAGTTTTAAATATTTATTTTAAGAAAATAATAACTGTTATACTTTTTGAAGGTGTTTGTTTATACAAGATTTCTTATATAAAACTGTTTTATAATTAACAAGGTTCTATCAAATTGTACTTAGAAATTTATTTGGCTAACGCTGGCTAAACCTTTTGGTCCGGGAGTCCGGTACAAATTTGGTCGATTATTTCTTCTTCGGCTTCTAAATATATTTTTTTTATAAACACACAGAACCATCTAGTTCCATGGTAAGCTACGAGGCCTGTGTTATGGTTACCAGATAGTTAATACACTACACATATATAACTTTAAATACATACATATTATAAACATAAACACTCATGACTGGAGTACAAAAATTCGTGTTCATCACACAAATGAGTGCCCCTAGCGGGACTCGAACCCGCGACCGCTAGCACAGCAAGTACTACAAACTGAGCCAGACGTGTCGTCACTTGGTAAACTTTTTTATTTCGCTTTGAAAAATGGATATTAAAATACCTAGAACACAAGAAAATTATGTGGGCGTTTAACTGAGAAAGATTTTTTACCATCTTTTGAAGGTACGTAATGAGAAATTTAATTTCATGTAATAGGAAAAAGTATTATTGAATAGATATGTTTAAAGAATACTAGATTATAAAAATATATTTAATGCAACTAATGAATATTAATATGGTACATTATTAAATAGGTAAGAAACCGACTCGGCGTAGTGCGTTCTTCGTATAGCTTCTGCCAACATCACAGCAATATCCATTGTTTGTAGTTTAGGGCATTGTTTCATATTTTTATCTTGAGGTATTGTATTTGTAACCACCAAAGCTTCTAAGCATGAATTATTAATTTTTTCAATAGCATTTCCAGCGAGAACTCCATGAGTGAGAATTGCGTAGATTTTATTTGCTCCGGCCTCTTTCAATTTTATTGCTCCTTTAACAATAGTATCACAGGTGTCTGCCAAATCGTCGACCATTATGGCCGTCCTATTTCTTACATCACCGACTAGAACTGTTGCATCTTCGTCATCGTTTGTTCTTTGTCTTTCTTTGTGAATTATAGCGAAGTCTATATCGAGCCTGTCTGCTATGGATGTCATTCGTTTTACGCCACCTGCGTCAGGGGATACCATGACACTGCTCTTCCATTCAGGAATATTATCTTTTATCCATTTAGTTATAGCAGGTTCTGCATACAGGTTGTCAACAGGAATATTGAAAAATCCTTGAATTTGTGATGCGTGTAAATCAATTGTTATGACATGATCAGCTCCAGCGACTGATATGAGATTTGCTAGAAGTTTCGCAGTGATTGGAGCGCGGCTCTTTTCTTTCTTATCTTGTCTAGAATATGGAAAGCATGGTATGACGGCTGTAACTCGTGATGCTGATGCGATTTTGCAAGCATTAATCATAATAAGCAGTTCCATAAGATTGTCGTTGATTTCTCCACACCCACTTTGTACGATATATACATCTTCACCTCTGACGGATTCCCCTATTTCAACATTAGTTTCCTTGTTACTGAATTTTTTCGTGGTAGCTCTACTTAAATCCAAGCCGAGGCGTGAAGCAATTTTTTTCGCTATATCGGGATGCGAACTGCCCGTAAAAACTTTGATGTTCGGCATTCTTGGAGGTTGAGTTAAATCTGCTTTTTGTTCTTGTGTTGTTTCCTCCTCTTTACCGTGTTTTCGTTGTGATGTCATTAGCCTGACTGATGTAAACCATTTAAATGAACACTTTAGTTTGTTGCGATAGTAAATGGGCTGATATTTGCTACAAACAGATTTATCAAAGTTCAAGATGAGGTCGGGTCATATCTCCGCACCCCTGTAATGGAATACTGTTTGTTATCAACAAGTGAATAACGATATACACAAATAAAATTACATCATAAGCAAATATTATGTTATATTTAATCTCTAATGTGTTAAAACAGCCGAATGATAGTTGTTTGTTTCATTCTTCATATGTACCTAATTAAGAAATAAAGATGATAATGTACAATTAGCATCCAAATAATGAAAGATACGTTGAGATTACAAATATGTTAGTCTAGCGACTCACCCTCGCTCCGCTCGGTTTCGTTCCTTGTTACGTTTTAACATTTAGTATAGATTTCTCATAGATGAGATATTTTTCCGAAGTGAAAAGTATCCTATATGTTAATTCGGATAACCAGGTATGTTGTATGTATGTTGTATTCAGCCCTTTTTAACGTCCCACTGCAGGGTACGGGCCTCCCTTCAATACGTGGGGGATCAGGCCATAGTCCACCACGCTGGCCAAGTGCAGGTTGGCGGACTTCACATGTCTTTCGAAAACTTACTAGCTTCTCTCAAACATGCAGGTTTCCTCACGATGTTTTCCTGCACCGTAAGGCAAGCGGTAACCATGTTATAAATGATTCGCAAATGACGCTTCACTCGGTGTCCCAAGCGAGCGCGTTACCACTGGGCTACCACTGCCTTCACCACCAGCCACCAGCTATGATCATACCAAATTTCATCAAAATCTGTCCAGTGGTCGTAGTGGCGTCGTAGTGGTGGTGGTGGCAGTCGTGATGCGGGCACAGACAGACACCAATTCTATAAACTACAGATTCTGTATTGATAATAATGACTATTTCAATAAGATTATTCAAAAAAATATTTAATGTACAGATTAGACTCAGAATTTTATTATATGTATAGATAAGAATGAACTTTATTCATAAATTTCGTGTATAATTCTCAAATTTCAAAATCATCTTTTATATATATTTATTTGTGTTGTGCACTCAAAATCTATACGACCTTTGCCTTTTCTTTTTTATTAAAGACGTTAAAAAAGATAAATCTTTAATTCTATAAATTCAGATATAATACAGTGCGTAACATGAGTGATACTCGTAGATCAAAGGTGGCAGGCGGGTCGAGGACCTCAATACTTCAAGCTATCGATTTAATCCCCATGTATGTTCAGCGATTCTTAATAGTTTCAAAGTTATTTGTATTTAAAATTTTTTTTGTGAAAACCAGATTTTAAAATAAACAGCAAATATAGTCCGTACAGAAGTACATTTTCATACATCCCACTCACAAGTACCTACGAAAACTCTTAACTGATTACTGTTCAGTATATTTCCAATTATATATTAATTGAAAACATATATATTAGAATAATATTATTTATGTTTTTTTAACAATAAAAACTTTAATTACAATAAAGATAAAAACTAAAAAAACATACCGACTTCCAGGCACTAAAATGTACAAAATAACTAAACGGAGGTTTTCATTTAGAATAGATACCTAATCAGATATTTTCGATGTCGGTGTCAGCCGATGCAAAGCAAATCTTATATATTTCCATATGTAAAATACATATTTAGCTATTAGATATTCATATCTTAAAATATTGTCGGCTGGCAGTTGGCACCGACTTCGAAAATATTTGATTAGTTATCTATTCTAAATGAAAACCTCTGTTTAGTTATTTTATACATTTTAGTGCCTGGAAGTCATTTTTTATTTTTTTTTTATTTAAAAAGTTTTTATTTTTCCATTTTTAGTGTAGACGTAATAAGCAGGTAAATTGTAAGAAGAAAGTTTTTTAATGACGTATTCGATTAAACAATTATTTATTTAAAAAAACATATAAATATTGTTGATTTTTTAAAAAACCGCTCGACCGATTTCGATAAAATTTATATGGGACCACCTGGGAAATACCCTTTGAAACAAAAAAAAATCCAAATCGGTTCAAGCGTCTTCGAGTAATTGGTGAACATGCATAAAAAAAATTCCAACGAATTAAGAACCTCCTCCTTTATGGAAGTCAGTCAAAAATACAAATATACTTAATTATGCATATATACAAAGCAAATGTACACTTATTATTTTATTATTAAGTATTAGTATTACTGTATAAAGTCATGTCCGTGTGGAATAGTGGCAAGAATGCGAGCCGTGTTCCCCCGTTGAATAGCAACGCCGAATGCTGATTCTTTGGGCGAATAATGTGCCAGCTCTCATATCTATGTCAGTTCCACCTATGCACCTTCTACCCTTGCCATCAGATCAGGTCGACGATACCGAATCTCTGCACTATCGACGGAAATAGAGATACTTGCCAAGTTTTAAGTCAATTATTATGACAATAAAATTGGAAGTCTCTCACCACAGTAGAGACGATAAGACGAGGTGTTATGTCTTATAAGTAGTGCTTAGCATTTTGAACTTTGCAAACCTAATTAATGTCAATTTATATTTGACTAGCGACTTACCCTCGCTCTGCTCGGATTCATCCTTAGGTACGTTTTCACTGTTAGTATAGATTTCTCAGAGATGAGATATTTTCCCGCAGTAAAAAGTATCCTGTATGTTGATCCGGATAACCAGCTATAATCATACCAAATTTCGTCAAAATCTGTCCAGTGCTTTTTTCACGATGCGTTAAGACAGACAGACAGACAGACAAAAATTCTAAATACTACAGATGCAGCCTCTGTATCGATAATGATGAATTAAATAATCAATAAGATTTTCCAAAAAAAAATATGTACAGATTTCTATTAAATTATCAATTTTTTTTAAAAGCTTTAGTTATTACTTACTATAATTGATATGATAATACAATTAGTTATACGAATAATTGCAAATCTATATCGAATTTCAATTTTCATAACTATTTATCCGGGTCTATTTTAGTGGCCTAACTGGTTTAGGCCTTAGTGGCCTGAATATACCGTATATAATATAATATAAATATATTAGACCCGGTAAGGTTTATACAAGTTTATACCTGACTATCTCCAATTCAGAAGTGAAACCCTAATTCGACTGGTCTAAACTTAAAGACGAAACTGCATATACTATGATCCTTTATCAACTATGTAGTTCTCATCTTTTTAGTTTCCTTTTTACGCAGTCAGGTTTTTTTTAATTATTTTTTTATTTGCATCTCTTTAGTTTTGGTCAGTTAGGCATTGTTAGTTTTTTTAACAATTTTTAATCCTAAAATATTTTTACAATGTATTATTATGATCGCCTCTTAAAAAGCTATTTTGATAGCTAACTCCACTCGATTGATTTGAACGAATTTTTTTTTCAAGACAGACAAATTGTCATCTTAGATCCGACTTTTTGATTTTTAATGATATCTTTAATCTATATACCCTATGATACTCACGTTATTAGGACGAATCGAACAACATATAAATCATCAAAATCGGTTAAGCCGTTTAGTAATTACAAGGGAACATAGGGTCGGACATACATAATATGTACATATATACAATATACATACATACAGGTCCAACACATAACCCTCCCTTGGGCTTCGCAGTGGGTAAAAAAAACAATATGCTACTTTTGGAAATGGGTAGTACGTTGAGGTATCACAGGCATCCTCCCAACGTCCGTTCGTTCACCTTTTAGTGGGTACTATAAGGGAGGCCCGTTCCCAGCCGTGGGACGTTAAAACGGGCTGAATACGAAGGGGGTAGGTATAACGCGTAAAGCTATTTGTAATGTGAATAAAAATGGGCTTACAGTGAAATAGCACACATAAAAAAATACAAAGAAAAAATCCGTAAAGTGTTGTGTCTACGAATATTAGAATGGTTTCTTAGAATGAACTTATTATACTTCATGTTTATGATCTTACATTGAATGATATTAAAATAATATGAAAAGCTTTACTTTTATTTTACAAACTTTCAAATGAAATATTATTATTATTCACTTGAAATATTATTTTTAATAGATAATAGATTTATTTGATGCATATGAAACCCTTATACACAGAAAAATGAGTTAGATTATTCGTTTTAAGATAATTTGATTTTTATTTCTTTGGCTTTTCAATATACAATGGCGGTGTGGTAGCTGTTTTAAACCAGTTCATATATCAATTTTCATTACATGTAATTTAATTATTACTGGTAAGGTAAGTACGAGTTGATGCTGTGTCTTTTAAGTATGTATTCAGCCCCTTTTTAACGTCCCACTGCTGGGCACGGGCCTCCCTTCAATACGAGGGGGATCAGGCCATTGTCCACCACGCCGGCCAAGTGCGGGTTGGCGGACTTCACATGTCTTTCGAAAACTTGCTAGGTTCCCTCAGACATGCAAGTTTCCCCACAACGTTTTCCTTCACCGTAAAGCGAGTGGTAATCATGTTAGAAATGATTCGCACTTGACAATATCTTAAAAAAAGATCTTTTTACCTGACTGCAAGGAAATGGCTATGTTTGTTTGTTTGTAATATTCTATATTCCCTCATATCTTCCAAACCATTTGATGGATTTCTTTAATTAACGTATCGTTAGATTTGTCTCATTAGTCCAAGTGTTCTTAGATATGTGATATAAAAAAAATTAAATATGGGGACTGCTAGATACCATAATGTGAAAAAGAAAAAAATGAAAATGAACGACGAACTATGCCACTATCGTTGAATAGGTATTTAAAAATCATTTTTTAGGTTTTTTTTCATTATTTTTTATCATACGAGTATGTAAATCTTGCAAGGATGAGACGTGTATGACTCCGACTGCATAATAATACTATATTCCATCGTGAACTTATTTTCATCTTTTTAGTTAGCTTTTATGCAGTCGGGTCTTTTATTTCTATAATATACTAGCAGAACCCGCGGCTTCGCTCGCGCTCGCGCTTTTATTACATATAGATACATACATACCTATATTGATTTTAGATGTTGATGTAGATACTTATTAAAAAGATCTTTATATTTTTATACGTTTATTTTGTACGCGAATTATGTATATTAATTAGTTTATAGGTTGTTGAATTTAAAATCTATACTTGTATCGTGCAAGTATAGTTTTAATAATAAAACTAAGTAGTTTAATTTTACGATCATGTTGTTTTTATTTCAAAGTTGTTATAGTATTTGGATTTGCGTTGGTGTACAGTCTTGTATTTTTAACCTCCGACGCAAAAACGACGAGGTGTTATAAGTTTGACGTGTCTGTGTCTCCGTGTGTCTGTCTGTGGTATCGTAGCTTCCGAATGGATGAACCGATTTTGATTTTGTTTCTTTTTGTTTGAAAGGTGAATTAGTCTAGAGTGTTTTTAGCTATGTTTGATGAAAATCGATCCAAGATGGTCGGGGTTTTTTTTAATTTTTAATTTTATTTCATTATCATCAGCATACTCAAAAGTTTAATAAAGCAATAATCCGGTATTTATGTCTTATTTCTTAAATAATTAGATGAAGTACAGAATATTATAGAGGCAATTATAATAAAACTTACAATGTTAGTGTGAGAATTAGAATAAATCTGACAAAATTATTAAAAATAAAAATTATCACGGTCAGTTTATAATAAATTAATAAAAATTTCATCACGATCACGCAAATTGCATAAATCAATAAAATTTTGGAATTGCCTGCGGTGGTCGTAATTATTGTGTTTTTCGTGCAGACCGTATATACTAAAATCACGTATATCGTATGCCCATGTGCCAGTGTTAAAATTACAGATCGGATCAAAATCTGTACCCTCAGCTGTTATAATCATGGTAGTCTCGTTAGCTGAGAAATGTAAAGCCATTCCTGGTGTAAAATATTGCTTCCCTGACGCTTTGCATGTATCTGTTCCATTATGCTTACTACATTCTAAAGCGATTATGGCTGAGAAAGGATCTAGGAAACGCGATTGCTCTGCTGTCATTTGTGTTGGGTCCTGTAATAAAATTTATATTTTGGTACTTTTTTTGTACTTCTAAATTTTTATTATTTTATTATTTTTTATATTATCATAAATTTTATAAAACTTTGCTGTAATAAAAAACTAATTTTGAGTTACTTTAATAGCACAATTATGTTATAACTTAACTAGGCTTGCTTTAATAATATAATGAATAAATCAAGTAGGTTTTAATAAAAACAAAATTTGTTACCCTTTGTATGAGTACAATCGATCCACCTCTGATGAAAGTTAAAAAATCAGACTCCGTTGTTGTCATAGTAACAGGATCGCCTTCATTTCCTTTTAGTTCGAGCCCACTAGAAAATTCATACCAGGTACCAGGAGGAAGCCAGATATGGACATGGCTTTGCATAGGTTGTAAATTTGGAGCAATCAGTAAATTATCACCTACACTGAATTGAGTATTTATATTGTGCAAAGCTACTGATGATGGAAACTGATAAAACATCGGTCTAAGTAATGGACCTACTTGTAGCGTTGTATAGAAATATGGTAAAAGTTCCATTCTTTTTTTTAAAGAAGTCATCATAAGAGACTTATGAGTACCATTATAAGCGAAAGGATATCGTGCGTGTTTTTTGGAATGTATTTTTATCATCGGAAAATATGTCGCGGCCATATACCATTTGATACATAGCTCTATTTGGCTTTCTGGGTTAAAGTTTTCGTTATCACCACAAATCGGGGTCGACCAAAGCCAAGATCCTGATATTCCCCCTAGTGCAGATGCCAGCAGTTCTTTATGAAGATTGGTCCACGACGCGTTTATGTTTTGTCTATTTATTGCAAAGCGACCATTCATCCATAAACTACTTGACCATATGTTTAATGTGTCGTTGGATAACTTAGAGAACTTTTTGGCAAAATTATCCCCGTATTTATTGTGCTTAAATAAATAAGGGTTGCTGTTGTTTACAAGTGTTAGGTTCCATTGTGGCGTATGGTTAAAAGCTTCTTGGAAAATCTGAAATTAAAAGCATCATAATTTTTAAATCAGTTAGGAAATGAGGGAAAAGATATAAGTCAACGTGAATGACCGTAGCAATATTAAGAATGAAAAAAAGTAGTTTTAAACGAATCATGTCTATCTAATATATTTCAAAATTTCAAATTTAATAACAAACTATAAAGCAAAATATTCACCTCATTGAAATAAGGTAAATAGTTTGTCGTTTCGTTTAGCTTCTTTTCTGATTGATCGAATGGCCAATTATTTTCTAGAATTACTCCATCTAATTCATCAGTATAAGCCCACAAGCTCTTCATAAGCACGTCGGATTCTTCATCATAGCTCGGGTAGACCACATCATAATCATCAACTTTTCCTGTGTATAAATCCATGGTTTTTGGAAAACGATACATTTTCTCTTCAAATGTCGGTATTATGTGACAATTTTTGATAGTTTCATTAATACTTCTTTCATTTTCTTCTTCGGATAAGTTAGCCTTTTGGTAGCGAATCTAGATAAGAATTTATTATTTATAGCAATCGATATACGTAGCGTGTAATTAAAAATCGACGAAACAAAAGTTTTAGGATAACTGAGCGAATGTTTTACATATGTTTATTACATTAAATTGTATATAAATATATAATTTCACCAAACCTTTTAAAAATCTTTTTACAAATATCCATCGCATTAGACGCGAATTCAGTGAATCTCTCTTTGGTAGTATATTTGAGGTAATAAGAATTTTAATATTTATTTCAAAGAAATATAAATATAACATAGGTATTTCAGTGGGCAACAATTCAGCAAATACTTCTTAAAATATAAATAATTTTAATCCAGTAAGCGAAAATATATGAAGAGCTTATTCGGATCTTAGATTATTAGAAAAAAAATAAACTCCTCGACTATTTACGAATTGGGTGAAGCTATTTGGTATTAGCGTATATGAATTGTAGCTCGTTTTGGCTGTAATATTGACTGCAGTGTATCTTTTTATAACTTAGTTAAAAGAGGCGTAATTATAACATGAGTACTAACGCGTGGTAACTTGGGGGGGATCAAAGGTAGCCTATGTCCATCCTCAGAAAGCAATCTATGCCTTTGCCAAATGTTATCCAAATCTGTTCAGTAGTTTAAGCGTGAAAAGGCAACAGAGTTATTTTACATTTATAATATTATTAAGGATAATAATCAAGTTTCGAATTTAGCCTATTGTAAGTACTTGTTGTATATTTTATAAGTTATTTAATTAAGCATATAAAATTTGAATTTGAAAAATCTTTCCATCTTCATTCAAAAGTTCTTATATGAGAACATAGTAAATAATTTATTTGTCAATTATATTTTGACAAGGGTTTAGAAGATTTATTATTAGAAAACGATATATGTAGGGATAGATCCTCATCAAAAGCTCTAATAAAAGTAGGACATGTTAAATGGACGATAATAATTTATACCTAAGTAGGGCTGCTCACGGCCTCGCCTGTGTTATTAATTTATGTAACCAGAATAACATCTTTATGAATCTGGCACAAAAACATAGGAATTTCATATAAACTTACTTTGAATGAATGACCTTCAAAATTTCAGCCTAATAGGTCTTCGAGGTTTAGGTACGAGTTTTGTGCTTAGTAAGTAAATGAAACTTTTGCTTTTAAATAGATATATAGTATTATAGATTAATGAAGATATTTACATAAAAAAGAACATTCTGAATCTACGTTTTAAAACAATGTTTTGATTTATTTAAAAAAAAACTTGACAAATATTGTACACACATACAATGTACATAGGTTGCTAATTATAAAGTTATAATTTAAAAAAACAAAAGCAAAAACTTTAAGAAAATGAGAGAATCGAACGGTACCGTTACTGCTGCTGACTCATTTTCAAGTTTTTTTAGTTTCTAACCCCAAGCAAATTAATCGTCTGATTGAAAAAAAAAAATTTATAACTTTTGCAATTCTATAAGAACTGTTTCAAATAATAACTAACTATAGTAGATTTTTCGCCGTATTTTATAAATGACTAGCGACTCGACCTCGCTCCGCTCGGGTTCGTCCCTACTTACATTTTAACGTTTAGTATAGATTTCTCAGAAATGAGATATTTTCTCGCAATAAAAAGCCCTCCTATATATACCTGGATAACCAGCTGTCATCATACCAAATTTCACCAAAATCCGTCCAGTGGTTTTTCCGTGATGCGGTAACAGACAGACAGACAGATAAAAATTCTAAAAACTATAGATTCGGCCTCTATATCGATAATAATGTTTATTTCAATAAGATTTTCTAAAAAATATTCAATGTACAGATTCGGCTTAGTTAGAATTTTATTATATGTATAGATTTAGTCAATAGCAAAATTAACTTACATATGGAGAAACGTGTGGAACAAATTTTCTTCCAGCATTTCTGACTAAATTCGCTCCATTATTTACAGCAGCAATATTGCTCGATTCGCTGTCGGCACACTGATCGCTATTAAAAACTATAGGACCATCGCCACAAATACTGTCATACGGCATCCTCTCTTTATTTGCATCGGCAATAAAGGATGTTAGATTTATTTGTGGGACTTCGCTGTAATAAAAAAAATAATAAGGTATTTATTATTTTGATAAATGTTTGTATGAAAATACTTGGATGTTAGCGTTTTTAGCCTAAACATAGTTTTTAAGTTTTTCATAGTTTAAATCAAATAAAAGCAAAGCATTGAATGTAGCAAATAAGTACATAAAATGTGATTAAAACAAATTAGTAGTTATTTTAATAGGCTTCTTTATATATAAGTAACATTTTAATTAAAAACATTATCAGTTATTGTATAAATCGATACTTCCATACTAATATATAAATGCGAAAGTAGCTCTGTATATATATATATATATATATATATATATATATATATATATATATATATATATATACCGTTATAAGGTATCTCGGGACGTACCCGAGCGAAACGAGGGTAAGAAGCTAGTATTAAATAAGTACGAAATTCGTAATCTGCTAATTGAATTGAATATTTCTTAGAACTAAATAAGCTTTTCAAAGTATGAACGGAAATTGAAATTACTTGGACACATTAGCAAAATTAGAGCAAAGAACTTTTCCAAAATTTCAAGTCATTTGTTATATTTTTCAATACACTTAATATAACATTATTCTACAACTTGATAAAATATGGAAAAAAAATACATAAATAAATTTTTTTTATGAACTTTTAGTATAATAATTTCTATTTACAAAAGTCACTCACTTGCAAATATGAACGCCAAGCATCCAATATTCCAATTTACTATAATTACCTATAACTGTCCTTACATCATTCATTATATGCCTTGGCTCAGGTCCAGTAAATAAATGCAATTTTAAGCCATAATTAGTTATACTTCGAATTAAAATCTGATTCTCAAGAGTCACTGTCACTTCTGTCGGATCGCTTATATCTATTAACAGACCATGGAAGTTTTTTCCAATTTTGGCAAATATCAACGGAACGGAATTATGGGCTCCATTCTGATATATTATTCTGGTAGAATTTTTTGTTATTGGTATCTCTCCAAATCCGTATAAAGACTCGTTCGTCAATGTGAATGATATCTCCCAGATATTATCAGACGCAATCAGGGGTCCTCCATCCATATTAAATATAGGCCCTTGTGTGCCATTAACAACTATGTTCAACTCTGGTGAAGTCACACGATATGAATATTTTTTGTCATAAGTCCTTTTACCGACCTTAGATTCATTTCGAGCATTGTACAATGTCATAATCATATGTGTCGCAGATTCCTCGTCTATAGATAATTTCATCTTTGGTATACTGTTTTGGTTCGAGTAAGGCACGGTTGCCACACGAGGATGTAGAATAACGTATTCATTCCAGGGCTCGTTCATTATGTAGGAAAATCTTGATGGAATGCGATGGTACGACATGTGTGAGTTACCATCGTAACAACATTGAGGATGGGATTCTTCTTCTGGGACAAATCCTATCCCACATGGGATTCTTATACTTCTTGATATAACGCAAGAGCCCGTAGAATAGCCGTCGGGCGGCGGTAGATTATAACTGGTTAAGAAATATAAGTGATAAAGAAGCAACGGTGATACTACTCCTAGCAGGAGAAAAACTAGTGTGAAATGAAGAGGTCTGTTGAGAAGTATTTTTTGCTGCCATTTTGCGCCTGAAAAATGATTATGAATTATTTATTCCAATATAACAGTTATCTAGCTGTATATTTATAAGCGTATTACGATCTTCTCTTATATTAAAGCGTATAACAATGAGAGATCTAATACGTCCTTAACATATATTGTAATAAGCATGTTGAATGCAAAATAATATATTTAAATATTTCAAAGTAATGAAAACATAACGCTACATTAAAATGGTGAAATTATATTACGTGAAAGCATTTATCGTATATGCGTGGTAACATTAAGCGATTAATTAAATAAATAAATATGTTGGGACATTAACACACAGCACCATCTAGTTCCATGGTAAGCTACGAGGCTTGTGTTATGGATACCAGACAGTTGATACACTACACATACATAAACTATAAATACATACATATTATAAATAAAAACACCCGTGACTGGAATATAAACATTCGTGCGCATCACAAAATGAATGCCCCCAACGGGACTCGAACCCGCAACCGCTGGCACAGCAAGTAGGGTCACTACACACTGAGCCAAACCTCTGTTATTTAAGTTTCCTTCATTTATAGTGCAAGCGATGAATGAAGTCCAAAAAAACAATGAAATTCAAACCTATAGTAGAGATGTCAACTTTACTTACGTCTCAACGGTTGGTGCTGATATTTTATTTCAATGTCTTCAAAATCGTCTTTGCTTTCGTTAATATGTGGTATCATGTTTATTATTGTTATAAATATTTTTTCGAAATCATTACTTCAAAACCTGAAATTGTATTTTTATAATTTAAAAACTCATTTTTATTTCACTTTCCAAGAATAGGATATGGGGATCTATTTCAGAGAAACGCCAATGTTCCATAAGAAATATTATTAAAACCATTTCTCGCATCTCATTAAAATTATGATTTATGTTATTTAATAAAAGCGTATGCTTCAGTAACTATATGCAGTATCTCATAGAAAAAATAATAATTTGATATAACGGCTTGCCTGAATAATACAATAAAACCAGTTCCACTGGCTCGTTAATTATCCATATTATGTAAAAAATCACATCGATCCGTAAAGCTATTTCTCCATGAGAGTAAGACAGGCCAATAAACACACAGCCACACTATATTATTATAAAACACTTTATAGCTATATTAACACAGCTAAATTTTACACGTACTTGAGAGTTTTTGGCCACGTCCAACACTTTTTTGATGTATCTTACACTGCACTTTTAAAAATTTATCACTTTATGCAAATTCACACTATTTCTGGCGCAATAAATGCGAAATGTAGTAAGATTTTCAATACAAAATTAACTTTTGTTTGCTCTTATCATTGAAATTATTCAGCGTATTGACGTTCTTTGAATATCAATTATCAACATATACATTCTGATTTAATTACAGATAAGATATGATTAAATTTTAATACTATATGAAAGCGAAATGATAATGCATAGTTATTTACAAGGACCGCCACCTATCATTTTATAATGGCTACTCATACGAGTATGACAGGAATTTGGAATGTAACCAGTTCGATATCAGCGTAAGACAAATATTTCTCTTAAATGCTAGAACGCTTTTACTACTGTTAATTCCTACAATAAAGTTTAAAACCAAAATACTTCGTAATTTGTAAATTTACTTTTATTTTGTTTATCGAGTTGATAGTCTAATATAGAGTGCGAAAGGGCTACAAAATATCTTCCTATACGGTATAGATAGAGGGAAATCACTTGTCATTACAAATAGTTGTCTGGTTCTCGCCGACGACGACGATGTAGTGTCAAGTATCAATCAATTCACTCTGTGTCATTCAAATATAGCATTCTCAGCAAACAAACCTTCTTGTATATTTTTTAATTTAGTAACTCAGGGTAACGTAGTTGAGTGTGTAAGCGATTCTACCACGTCCTATTAAGTTTAGGGAGGTTTCATTGGGTTTTAGTTTGTAGCATTTGCTTTTCTAACCGGTGACACTCACATAACTACTTGTATGTATGCAGGTGGTATAAGTAAATACATTTACCGACGTTAAAAAAACGTAGTTATATCTGCTGCTACATCACTATAAGGTCATTTAGTATTTCGGCATTTTTATGGAAATACTAATATTGACAGGAACAGTATAAATATGAGCTTTTATTCAAATCATAGACTACGTCCATTCTATTAGGATTAGTTGAGTCTTGAATAGTGTAGAGATGAAAAGTAAACACGTTTTGGTAATTTTTATTTATAAATAAAATAAAAAGATTAAATTAATAATTAATTTTAGCCAGTAATACGTTTTCAGGAATCCTTTCATTGAAGGTTGTCTGGTAAATTTGGCTTCTAGTAATAAGATCTTTGATTGTCGATTATTTATAAGTTTTTTCTTCATCTAAGTTTATATATTATAGGTCATGATTAATAATAACATTACGTAGAACGGTACTTAAGTATTATATATTTTTATTAATAAATCATGAAACTATTTGTTCTATGATTTGTGAGTGTTTTGTATGTAGGTAGCACTTGAAATAAGAGAAAATAAATCACTTTGTTTTCTTCAAAGATATTATAGTTTATAATATCATTAGTCTGTTTTCGAAAGGATTGAAAGTATCTAGTATCAATAAAAATTACACGTGTCTTGAAGTATTAAAATGTTGATTTTATACTTTTGACCTTTTGACTTTTGTTGGGAAATGTACCTTAAAAGCCTATAAAAAATATTTTTATATATTATTAATACTTTAAATTACTAACAAATTTTGATTAAACTTTCATTTCTTTAACATGTTTAGTCAAAAAAAAATCATAAAGTTTCTGTAACACATGTAGGTACATAATACAAGGTAAATAAGAAAAGTGGAAAAGTGAAAGGATGTGCTTTTTGGCATCATTCTTGTTCTTTCGCCAGTAATGAAACTTAAATCACAATTACATGACTATGTAAGAAGTCTTTAAAAAAAAAAACGAACTCGCTAAACTTTAACGAAACAGGATATGGTGGTTGCTATTCCATTTTATCAGGCGTTAGTTTTAAATATATATATTACTTTATTTTACTCACCCTTCCGTAGAGCGACTAGCAGTGACGTAGTTGGTCTTGCTACTCAGATTCTCCACCCACATAAAGCTGTAACACTTGTACATACATATATGATCTGGAAGGGTCTACAGTAGAAAAGTCGCTATCTAGCGAATAGGTATACTCGTCACAGATACCATAGGTGATGTAGTAGACTTGTTGAACCGTTCCCCTTTGACTTAAAGGAGAAATATTTATTAACATCATCCGATTAATCCCAGAATCAATTTATAATTAAGCTAATTAAAATGTTATTTAAGCACATACTCGTATATGTATTTTATTAATACAGAAAAATGGATAAGTTATAGCTTGTTGCGAGATTCACCTGTGTAGATAACCAAGAAAAGACAATATGTAACTTGATCTTGAACTACTTAATAAAAAAAAAAAAACATATTCTAAGAAAAAAAAATGTGTATGTTTTTTAATAAAATAGGCAAATCTCGCGGCAAGCTTTTATATCATATAAATTGTGTAATGTAATAAATTGATGGGTTTGATTTAATTTAAAGTTTATTTTCTTCTTTTTAGAGCATTTAAATAAAAGCTTGTTTTTTTTTTTTTAATTACTATTAATTTATTATCGTTCATTTTGAGTCATACGAGCATCTTATACGATTATGAGATTAGAGAGATTTTTTGCAACTACTTTGAACATATGTACCTAGATACATCAATTTTTAACCAAAATAACTAAAAAACGTAATAAAAAGTATTACTAGAAATTTTGTTTAAATTGTAGGCAATACAGTTGTTTGCTGTTGGCTGTATTAAACAAAACCCCGAAACTTCGTCTGTCAGCCCCAGTCATCAGTCAAGAGCAGCTTCACTCGTATTGTACAATGTACATACACAGGAATCTGATCGGCCATTCTCTTTATGTTTTCAAACAGACAGCTAAAATTACAATAAAAGATTTGTATCGGTTCCCGTTGTATTTGATACAAAACCTAAATAACAATTCTCCATAAATATTTATTACTAACGATTAGAATAAATTTTTAGAGATGAGATATTTTCCCTCAATAAAAAGTATCTTATATATTAACCCGGATACCCAGCTATAATCACACCAAATTTCATCAAATCCCGTCCTATCCAGTAGTATTTTCGTGATGCGATCCCAGACAGATAGACAAAAATTCAAAGTATTCAAAATTTTCAAAAATCAAAAATTCAAAAACAACATAAAGGATACTTTTTACCGCGGGAAAATATCTCAAACGAACGATTTAGCCTCTGTATCGATAATAATAACTACTTATCTGTATAAGATTTTCCAAAAAATATTTAATGTATATATTCTAAAGAATTTTATTATATGTAAAGGTACAGTTTTGACGTATGTTACGTTTAAGTTAGTCGAAGAGCCAGCCGATATAAAACCTATGGATCGGATATAATATTTGGCGATATAATGTACTATTGTAAGCCTAAATACAGAAGGACATCCCTAAAATTGTTTAGTTTTGCCTGTATGCGAACATATAAAGTCACTAGTGGTTTTCATTTCAAGCATGATGTTACTTTATGAGATACGTATATAAGTAGACTTAAACCTTTATACTACAACTAGCATTGCTCGCGGCTCCGCCCGCGTTCTGATGACCAAAATCCAAATTCTTAGGTTTTACATATTAGTATACTCCTACATTGCAGTTTTTGTATTTTTTTCAGAAATGAGATATTTTCCCGCGGTAAAAAGTATCCTATATGTTGACCCGGATAACTAGCTATCATCATACCAAATTTCATCAAAATCCCTCCAGTGGTTTTTCTGTGATGCGGTAACAGACAGACTGACAAAAATTCTAAAAACTATAGATTCGGCCTGTATCGATAATAATGTCTATTTCAATAAGATTTTCCAAAAAATATTTATAGTAAAAATAATATATATTATTATATGTATAGATAAAAATTTGGTGCATAAAATATAAACGTTTAACCGACCACCAACGAACTTCATTCTATATTATATACATATTGCGACCTCTATGGAAGGTATTTTCTTAAATCATCAGATACCAAATTTTTTTTTCTATCAAAAAAATAAATGTCTTGCTGTCGACCTACCTTTAATTGCAACAATGTCCATAATTTTTTTTTATTAAATAGATCGATAATTATGTTTATAATTTTTAAACCTTAAACTTCCATAAATTTAGTTTTCTATATACGTAGTGTTTCATATGGCATTTGATCGGCCGGCTCTCCGACTATGTTTATAAAGAAAAGTAATAAAAAAGAAACAAAAAAGTGAAAAAAGCAGAAAATAAGTAAAACTAAAAGAATATTATATTGTATATTTTGTGTGATATAGCGAATAATAGGGCTTATTAAAGTTCTTCCAACCGCTTTGAGTTAAGGTCTATCTCACTAAAATTAGTTACCTCTGAGAATATAGAGTTAAAGTTGGCACAAACAAAAATGCATTCTCTTCTGGATAGGATATACCGGAGATTGAGAGTGAAAGGCACTCTCAATCTCCGGTCGGATAATAATCTGACAAGACCATTGAGAGATAACGTCTTCGTGCGTTTTCCGGGGCACGAAACTTATTAGGAGGACGATTATACTGCAAAATTCATAGTTTGAAAATTAAGAAGGGAAATGTACGATAATAATTTAACATTATCCCTATATTATCAACAAAACTGTTTTTAGAATTCTGTTAAAAATTATAGAATTAGAGTCATACTTAAAAAAAATATACCGTGAACTCTATATCTTTAAATTCCATAAAAAAAACTATAATGTACAGATCCTTTCTTATGGGACTCCAACTCACAGTTAACTTTTCCATTCTAATATAATTCATCAGACTACCTGTCCCAGTAACACAATTTAGTTGACAATAATCCTATTAATATTATAAATGCGATAGTTTGTATGTATGGATATTTGTTACTCTTTCACACCAGAACGGCTGAACAGATCTGGATGAAATTTAGCACAAAGATAGATTATAGTCTGGAATAGCACATAGGTTATTTTTTATCCTGGAAAAATGTGTGGTTTCCGTGAAATAGTTTGTTATTTTTCACAGAGCAACGGATCGACTATCTATTCCATACTAACCGTTAATACGTTCCCATCAAAGCAAGGGTGATTTGCTAGTAATTTATAGTTGCTGTTTTTATTAACATTGATTATATTATATGAATATGTTTATTTATCCTAATTTAAAAAAAAATCATGAAGAAGTACAGAGTAATACCAAATTCTGAGTAAAATTTCTAATTTAAAATTAAAACTGTGAAAGAACAGAAAATGTTTGTTAAATTTTATACAAAGAAAACTTTGATCCTTTTTAACGTTTTTAACGTAGAGATAAACTTTAATCTCAATCGGTTATCAGTCTCAACCATAACTTCAAACTAGCTGTATTTATAAGTATAAAGCCTTGACCGTAACTAGAACTTAGAAATCAAATGTTTTTTTTGTTAAATCACACTTGCTTTCTAAAATCTTTCTTAGGCTGCTTTTCCACTATTGAAAAACAAATTTTGTAGCGCTACGTATTAGTTTTATTTTATATAGTTAATTTTTGAAACTTACAACAATATGATAGATAAGTTATGAAAACTTACCATATCTAAAATAGTTCAAAGAAATTTAGTGTTAAACAATTTTTACTTCATAACATAGTTTATGAAGTAATAAATAGTAGTAAAATAATATCTGTATTCAAAAATAATATCTATTATCTATTATCGAATATCTGGACGACCTCGTTCATTGAACAATGTGCTATCTTAGTAATGATATGAATTTATATTTAACTTCTATAGTGTTCGATATGACATAAATCAGAATGGAACATAATATTTTTACTATCAAGCATTATGTCTATACGAGTACTAATATTATAAAGAGGAAAAATTTGTTTTTTTTGTTTGTTTGTTTGTTTATACCGAATAGGCTCCGAAACTACTGAACGGAATTAGATGAAATTTGGTAAGAAGATAGTTTGAGACCCTGGAAAGGACATAGAATAATTTTTATCCCGGAAATCAAGCCTTAAAGGGGTGAAAATGGAGATGAAAGTTTGTAAGGGGAATCAACCTAGTATCGCTAGTATTTTATAAAATTATCTTATGACTAATGATAGAGTTAGATATATCAAGGAGATTATAATAAAAGAAAGAAATATTGATTAGGCTAAAGTACTATCGTATAGTCTTTTAGTCATGATCCTTTTATTATATTTTATCTTATTTACTAGCTTTGCCCGCAGACTCCGCCCGCGTTGAGATGACCAAAAACCAAATTCTTAGGTTTTACATATTAGTACGAGTATACTCTTACATTACAGTTTTTGTATTTTTTCTCAAAAATGAGATATTTTCCCGCGGTAAAGAGTATCCTATATATTGACCCCGACAACCAGCTATCACCATACCGAATTTCATCAAAATCCCTCCAGTTATGGTCCAGACAGACAGACAGACAAACATTTTAAAAACTATAGATTCGACCTTTGTATCGATAATAATGTTTATTTCAATAAGATTTTCCAAAAAATATCTAATGTACAGATTCGGCTTAGTTACAATTTTATTATATGTAATATGTATAGATAATATAATATTTTGGAATTATTTCATTTGTTACCAGAATATTTTATTTACCATACATCGCCAATTTCTTTTAAATATTAGTTGCTAACTCAAATTCATGGATTCTGAGAATATGTTTTAATATTTATGTTATTAAATAAATGTTTTACGTGATATTCAATATAATTCATTATAAAATCACAGAGATATTTTATATTAATATCGTCTACGTGGAATTTAAAGTAAGAAATATGTAATCATAAAATTTAGTAGGTCCCGATCTGTGCTTAATTTGCTTATTTTATCAAACATAGAATTGTCACTACATAGTATAAAACAGTCCCCTCCTCCCTCCCCTCATCGCGTCTGTCTGTCTGAACGCGATAAACTTAAAAACTACCGAACGGATTTTCATACGGTTTTCAACAATTGACAGAGTGATTCATGAGGAAGGTTTACGTGTATAATTTATTAAGGTTCTGTGTAAATTGGTTTAAATATAACAATGATTGTTGAATATGTTGGAAATAATCATGCCAATTAAGTATCATGGAATTATTTCTCTAAAAAGATTTTTGTATTAAATTGTAGAAACGCTATATGTACTTGGCTAGAGATACGCCTGAGCGAAGCGGGGGAAGTGACTACTCACTAGTTATACATAATTTTGCATGAATGCAGAAGCATTAAACTATAATACGACTTTATAATAATATGTAAATGTATGTTAATCCATACTTCCATACTAATATTAGGTATAAATGTGAAAGTATGTTTGTTTGTTTGTTTGTTTGTTTGTTTGTTTGTTTGTTTGTTTGTTTGTTTTTTTTGTCCTTGTGTCAAGTCGAAACGGATTGACGGATTGGCGTGATTTTTTGTGTGGAGATATTTGAAGGGTTGGAGAGTGACATAGACTACTTTTTGCCAAGGAAGATTATCTAATACCCACGGAAAAACACGTTATAATACAACCCAAAAAAATATTTATGATCAGAATTACTTGAAACTTGGTATCAATGTTCCTTAATACAATTAAATAAATACATACGTGTTTTAGCATTTTTAAAAATTCATCCAATAGGGGGGTAAAATAGGGGATGAGTTTTAACGCGAGTGAAGCCGCAGGGTGTGCTAGTATGTAATATGTAAATGCAAATGTACGAATTATACAATTGTAACAAACACAAGAAACTCTAAACTAGAAAAACTGTATCATGAGCTGGTACTTAAATCTAATGTTAAATGTGTAATTGCATTTATTTTCTGGTAAACATTTTACAGTAACTTTTTTTTACATATTTTCCTAGCTTTTTTTACTGAAAAGTCAAATCTACAAAACATCACAGTGTCTAACATCTATAGCAATTTAAAGATTGCTTATTGATTTTTATTGGCCTTAAATAATCATCAACCACCTTACCAACCAACCAATCATTCTGTATTTTTTCTTTAGGAGTTGTTAACATAATGTATTGATTCGAGGTATAAAATCTACCCAAAATCAAATAGGTTACATTTTTTTAAATAAATTAAATTATTTTTTTTGAAAAAATAACCCAATTTTATTTAATTTCTGTTTTTATTTATTACTTATTAATACTGGTTTTTATTGTGCAGTGTGGGTGCGTGCTGCACAGTAAAAACCATTCAACAAGGTATTTCTGCTGGTAAAAAAAAAATCCCTTATTTTTGACCGAATTAGTCACTTTTGAACAACTTTTAGTTCATCTCATGTTTGAGATAACTACAAACATTGTTATGAGATTTTGTAGATAATAAGATTTAAGTTAATAATAATTAATAAAGTAATTTATTATTAGTAAATATTCATTGGGGATTTATCCAACTTTTTAGCGAAATTAATTATTTGTCTGTGCGTTTGTGCGCGCTAATTTCAGAAACGGCTTAACCGATTTGAAAATCAGCATAAAATTATGTTGAAACTACTGGTTCATAATGAACACCTACGTCCTACGAGGCTTTTCAAGTCAGAGTCTGCTACGACGCTACGGGTAACGCTCGTCTCGTAGAGGCGCTACAGACACGCGGCTACGAATAACTACTTAAATAACTTATCTAGTTTGTTTAGTGATTACAGTGGAAGTGCCGTTTTACTTTGTGTTAAGAATTTAACTACAGTGATCTACAATGAAAGTTTGATTTTATTGAAACAAATAAAATAATATTTTAAATAATATATTATTTATAAGTGATATTTAAAGTAAAACAATTTTTTCAGACATTTCGAGGTTTTATTTTGATTTTTGATTCGAAAATACTTTATAGAAAACATGGCCACAAAAGAGACAATATAAGTGATAAAATAAATTTATTTTTAAACTGAAGATATCAAAATTAATGAAGTAAAATTATAAAGGAAATGTAATACGACTTCAATATGCAAAATAACGCATCGAATACATCGTTTGAGCTGAAATTCTGGGACTATTTCATTGAGAGCGCCAATGCTACCGATATGGAGATAGATACTGTGCCCACATCCGACCAGGGTTTTGTGGTAGCGATGTATAGCACATTATTTGTTATCGGTGCCGCTGGAAACGTGTGTGTGTTTGTGTCGCTCGTACGCTCTAGAAGAAGGAAATCTAGGGTTAATCTACTAATGACTCATCTCGTTGTAGCAGATTTGATTGTAATATTTATAGTAATACCTCTTGAGGTAAACATTACTTTACAGTATTGGCTTGATTTACTTTATGAATGTACTAGGTAATACGTTTTTATGGTTTTGCAGTATTTTTAATCTAGTCCACGAAAATGATACGTGATCCCGCTATAACATAAGGCGAGGTCAATATAGAGAAGTCAGAGCAAAAATAATATTTTTGTACCAGATCTTAGATTGATATAAATGAAATAATACTAATAGTGGTACAAAATTCTTTGAATTAACAGACACCACTTCTCAAAAAGCTTTTTGTATAACTGTAATTTTAGCCATTATCACTTCTCAAACATTTACCAGCCATAATTTTTCAGAATATACCTAATTTACAACTTTGACCAGGTTACGATTTTTGCATGTTAAATATTATTCAACACTCTCTACTATATATTTTTTTTATGTTAATGTTAACTATATTCTTGTATTCTTAATTTTTTGTAGAGAAGGCAAAGAGAATGTAGTATCTTTTTGTTCGTTTCTAAGATAAACGTGTATTGCGTTTTGACTTCAACAACCAGCATTTTAACTTATTTTGACTACATCACAATTGTAAGTATAATATAGGACTGACTCGAATGATTCTAATATATGTATATTAGTAGAAATGTAATATATTTAAAACAAAAATTACAATAATAACAATACTTTTTATTGACCTTCATAGAGTTCATAATAACGAAGTAGTAAAAGTAAACTAAATATGTAAAGTATAATAATACTCACGGGTTTCTCACACTACGGATGACAAAAGCTTGATAAAATAGTAAAGGATAAAAATATATATTAATAATATACGATATAAATATATGTATATATATTTATATACCATTTAAATTTTACACTTCGTCGAAATTTATTTGCTGGATTAAAATGCTTTGTAGAAAAGTCAAGTTAAAGCTTTGATTAAAATATGTATTTACTTATCGTATAGGAATCAAAGTTTAACCAGACTGATGAGTCTGGCTAAATTTTGACTACTTATAACATTTGATGAATATTTATATTTTTTCTACAATATTTTACAGTTTCACTTTTTATTAAAAAAATCTTAGATAATTATTAGTATAGTATAGGTTATTTTAAAACTAGCTTAAAGAATATTTATTTTTTGAGTCCTTTCTCATATTTAAATCCTTTCTCATACTTTACAAGAAAAATATAATGAGAACCCTCATATTTGAATGTTCGTAATTTTCATGTATAGGTACTTTTCCTCATTCCTTATTTCTTTATGCGAGTTCCTACAAGTTATACATTAACAATTTATTTTATTTCGACGATTTAATCACGTGTAACACAAATCAATATTGAGTCTATGACGAGTTAATATTATCGTACTCCATAACGTACACGCTTAAATTAAATTTAGTAAATACTAAACATCGAATGTAAAGCAATTAGTATGATGATCTTGCGGCCTAGGATTTCTGCTTTTATGTTATAGCTATTGAGAAAGATAAATTTTAATACAAAATAATATTTAATAATAATATTTAATATAAAAAATATGAACTTTGAAATTTTTCAGCACAAATCTCTTATACTTATCAAATGACGAATAAATAATAATTTTCAATTTCAATATGAAGGCTATCTACCTTTGTTACTATTAACATACGCATAAATATCGAAGATATATAAGTTTCTCCTTTGTTTTTCTTTTCTTTATTATTATATTTTTCACATTACAAATGTAAAAATTAAAAAAAAGATGTTGCTTAATCAGGCGTAAGCATACAACGGTGCACTCATAACGAAGTTGGATATGAATGAAACTTGTTAAATTATGTTCGTCAGAACGATGCTGATGATATATACATAATACATATATTATTACTAGCGACTCACCCTCGCTCCGCTCGGGTTCGTCCCTACTTACGTTTCGACGTTTAGTAAAGATTTGTCAGAAATGAGATATTTTCCCCGCAGTAAAAAGTATCCTATATGATGACCCGAATAACCAGCTATCGTCATACCAAATTTCATCAAAATCCCTCCAGTAGATTTTCCGTGATGCGGTAATAGACAGACAGACAAAAATTCTAAAAACTATAGATTCGGCCTCTTTATCGATAATAATGTCTATTTCAATAAGATTTGTCAAAATAATATTTAATGTACATATTCGGCTTAGTTACAATTTTACTTTTTACCGCGGTAAAATATCTTATTTCTGAGAAAAAAAATACAAAAACTGCATTGTAAGAGTATACTAATATGTAAAACCTAAGAATTTGGTTTTTGGTCATCTGAACGCGGGCGGAGCTGCGGGCATTGCTAGTTTATTTATAAACTAATCACTTACCCTCGCTTCTCTGGGGTGCGTCCCTAGATACGTTTTATATATATAAAAATATCACTGTGAGTAATAGCACGTATCTATCTTGTAGGGTATTACAGGATACAGATATGCTATCGTGGACTTTTCTGTAAGCCCTTTTATTTTGATGTATCTCTTAAGGTTTAGTCAACCTTAGCCATGTAAGTTCTAAGGACGATTCGACCGAAGCAGTTATTATGATTTCCCGTGGGAATGAAAGATCTTCCTGTAGTACGTGCGTACTCTCAATGTTGACCTGAGTAATAAGTTATCATAATTACTCGAGTTATCTGATATACAGACAAACATACAAAAAATTAAATAACCATTGTTTTGGGGCTTATATTCTGTATACAATATATACCATTCCTTGTTTTAAAATAATATTTCATATACAGATATAGCTTTGTTACTGTTTCTTTATGTGTATAGATATTTTGGTAATTTTATTAAAAAAAAATTAATCTGTCTTTAGAAATAGTAAAACTATAAACTTTATGATTTTTTATTCTCCCTCGACCATAATATGGTATACAATATTTTTGCTTAGAAGTTTTAAGCTCGTTGGGCAATCGTTCAAATAACGTTTTTATAGCACGTACTTTAAAGCTTATTTTTTACTTACCTTAAAAAGAACTTTATTTTCTTTCAAATTCTAATGTATGTTTGTCTTTTGACGACACGTTTGGCTCAGTGTGTAGTGACCCTACTTACTTTGCTAGAGGTTGCGAGTTCGAGTCCCGCTGGGGGCATTCATTTTTGTGATGAGCACAAATGTTTGTTTGTAATTGTTTGTTTGTTTTGTGTTTGTGTTTACTGTTTATATTTATAATATGTATGTATTTAAAAGTTATATATGTGTAGTGTATCAACTATTTGGTATCCATAGCACAGTCCTCGTAGCTTACCATGGAACTAGATGGTGCTGTGTGATAAATTGATACATAACCCCATAACTCTAAGGTGTTCTCGTTAAAAATTTAACAAAGAAGAAATTATTTATTTTATTATTTTAATGTAGCTGTGCGTTGTATTATTATTAATATGTAAAAGAGGTTTCGCATCTCATATGGTCGCAATTCTAACCTTGTAGCTTTCAATTACAGTGGTTGCGAATCTTTCTAATTACTCATCAGCTTTATTGTGGGGGCAACATTGACTTATGAATCTGAACGCAATTGTATGAGAGAATCTGGCGTATAAATTCTAATTTGGTAGCAATAGTAACCACTAAAAGCACGTAAAGGTTAGCTGGGTTTTGTGAATTGTATCTGCATGCGATCATGAGAGTTTATTCAAGCGCTTAGTCTAAAACGTGCCGTTTTCGATTTGTGTTTACGGTACGTTATTCGATATCTTAGTAGCACATACATATTCAATCACACTACTATTATAAATTTGAATATTTGTATGTATGTATATTTGTTACTCGTACACGCTGGAACTGATGGACATATTTCGATGAAACTTAGTATACAGATAGATCTTAATCATAAAAGGTTATAAAAAAGGAACCATATCATAATCTATACTAATATTATAAATGTGAAAGTTTGTGAGTATGTATGGAGGTTTGTTACTCTTTCACACCAGAACGGCTGAACGGATCTGGAAGCACAGAGGTAGATTATAGTCTCTAATAACACAGGCTTTTTATCTCGGAGAAATGTACGGTATAGGTTTGTTTTTGTTTTGCTAGTATTATAATAAAAGTGTAATTGATCGCCGTCTATACATAGAAAATATTTAAGCAAAACTTATTGGGGGTCTTTATTAACGTAATTGAACCCAAAACAGTAATTTTTAAAAGTTATGTCTGTTTGTCTGTGCGTTTGTGCGCGCTAATCTCAGAAAAAACTTAACCGATTTGTTTGCGGTTTCCACTTATGTATTGCGGTAGGCTTCACTTAAAATTTAGTATGTTTTATTTCAATCTGTTCATAAATATAATAGTTATGTTAATTTAAAAAATCACTAGGAACGACCCGAGCGAAGCCGGGGTGAGTCGCTTGTACGTATAATAAACGTATATGTTTTAACTTAACTAGTTCCTTATCACAAAATTTTACAGTAACAGCAATTTGTTAGTAAATTAGCTAGAACCTAACCGATTATACACTAATTGAATGCTTGTGGGGATAATAAAATTTATTTGTTAACCTTACTAAATATTATAAGTGAAAGTGAGTTGTTTGTTCTATCACGTAGTACTAGATCAAGATTTTATTGTACTAGCAGAACCCGCGGCTTCGTTCGCGCTAAAACTAAAAAAAAATCTCTAAAAAGTTTATATCTAGTTTCATAAAAAACTTTCATCTCCAATTTTACCCCCTTATAGGATGAATTTCGAAAATTTTCAAACACTTCATTTTTAATTTTATTGAAGAGCATTAATACCAAGTTTCAAGTAATTCTGATCATAAATATTTTTTGGATTGTATTATAGCTTATTAAGATGTTGATTATGTGATATAAATAATAATATGATATAAATTTTTGAATTATATGAAAACTAAATTACAAGATTAAACAAAAATCAAGTTGCCAAAAATATGTTTTTTTTTTGATATTTTTTTTGCAAATGTTATATACTGCGCAGTAACGAAATAACCGCTAAAGCTATACTAGACTCGCGGGACTGGACTCACCAATTCACTAAATTATATTTTTTCAC